TTGTTTTCACATATTTTGCCTTTTGTCTATGATTAGTTTGTGTAATTAATTGTCTTAAGTGTTAGGTGTGGCATATAGTTTGTTATACTGTTGTATAGAAATAGTAAGTGATAAGAAAGGAAGTTCATTGATATTTGAGTCCCCTCCAAACACAGAAGAAACACCAACACTCTTGAGAAAAGAACACGGCTTGTCAGAAAAAATTTTGCTTTTGAGGTTAACCCAATAAAGAAAGAATTATTACCTATAGTGGATTCCCACAAACATTCTTTTTTTTTTAAACCGGAGCAAAAATTCCGGTACTTAACTAATCCAAAACCAAGATCAACTAACAACAACTCTTCTGTTTTATTGTAATGTGTACTGCCCTACCATTCTCAATATCAAAATCAGACGAGATTACGGAGGCTACAGAATAGTTGGTTAAGATTTTTTTATATCAAGAAATTTGATTTCATTATTTCGCCATATTAAAATGAAGTGAGCTCTTAAATTAGGTCATGGATTCTTTATTCAAAATGTTCTGTGTTAATCAAAGTACCTTTTGAAAAACCTATTATATGATGTCAGGTATTCATCAGCGTACTCTGTATAATTATGATTTTACTATACTTGGACACTTCCCTCTGTCAGAATTGTTCAGTTATGATGTCACAGGTCCAACTCAACTTAAAGATAATTTATATCATATCTTCAAACAAGGGAGTGTATTCCGGGTTGTTCTTGTATAGTTGGAGTTTTTGTTGTAAAGAACTTAATTGAAAAAAAAGATGTCAGATTTGCTAATAGCAGATCAGATGCAGTACACTCTCTTGTCTGCTGACGATCGAGTTTTCATAGCGGTAAACAATTATACGCTAACGGCTATGACCTAGTTATCAATACAAAGAGTGATCTAGATATGAGAGGTGGAGAAACCATAAAACACTGCAACCAGTTTGAATATTAAGGAGTGACGTTCTCCGAAAACGCTAAAAGTAGTGCAAATAATTTGAGCCAAACCAATAATATACAAGTCAATGGATCAGAAACGTGGATATTACCAAAACGGAAGATACGAGCAAATAAAACTCCATTTTGGATCGCATACCACATCAAACCGTGCTAGAAAATGAAATGGCCAAAGAAAATCTATAATTCTGTTCATTCCGAAACAAAAATGGCAGGAAAACCACCAGGAGGCCGGAAAGATGATATGCAGCTACGTTAGCAAGGAATGGAACTCACGGAAGTGGAAATGAAAGGATTTTGGCGAAACCGTCCACCATTAAAGAAGAAGAAAAAATGTGGGATCTTGATAATCGAGGAATGGGATGACCTTTATTAATTAATCTGCAATAAATCGTTACATTATGTATCAGTCGCAGTATCGGCCGATGACATTTAAACTGTTCATTAGAAAATAAAAGCTTGCGGTTTAACTCGCCGATTCAAAGTAAAGTTAACCATAATCGAATTCAATTTTTTGATTGAAAACCTTAGGAGTACGTGCAAAATCTGGCGGATTCGGACGGATTTTTTTTTCGGTGACCTTTTGTTTTAGATTTTAAAATCGCTCGGCCAGACTATTCGCGGATTCCTTTACGTTATGTTGCGGCTATTTAGGGACAAGGCCGTGGGTTACACTTTCAATTAGATCTTTAACGGTCGGCCTTTTACGTCCGCGCAGAGAGAAGAGCGTTCCCGTTCTTATCGACGTGTGAATAAACGAATTATTAATATTTAATTGCGGCACGGGACGATAAGAGCATTGAAAAATAGCCGTTGTTCCGTCAAAAAATTTTTAACGACGACACATAAAACGATGATAAAACGATCATAAAACTGTAATTTATTTGTTTATTTTCTCTGCGCCGTTGAAATTTTCAGTGGCAGGAATTATGGAAAAATACGGAAGAGCGTTGACATTTTTCGTCCAGAGTTCGCCCAAGGCTAGGAAAAAAAATATATTCACGAAAAGTTACCACAGATCGGGAAACACGGAGCCTAATGATAACTACAAGTTAATTGCTAACCGAATGTCTCTTTTAGACAAGCTGGTTGCGCTAATCGGTTTACTCTGACGATGTCGTCATTGTTTGGTCTGTAAGTTTCCACTTTTCATATCGTCGTTATTGGCCACAAAACAAGAAAAAGGAAAAAATATCCTTACCCGTAATTAACTCAAAGTTCAAAAATTTCAATCTCTACAAGGATTATTGATATCATCTGAAGATTACATATATAATATTATTACAAATGTCTTTTTCTACTCCCGTCTGTAAAATGCCTAATTACACACCGATCTAGAGTCCGGCAAGCGGCACTTTACCGCGTCAGTTTCGTTCCCCACGGATCCGAGCCACTTCGGACATTTCCGGGATTTTACCGCACGGATTTGGAAGCAATCGGACGTTTTCGGAAATTTTACCGCACGGTTTGATTTTTGCAGTTTGTCAGTTCAATGTATTCGTGTTGTTTTGCGACAATGTACTCAAAAACTAATATGCAATATATTAGATAATTTGCTATAAGCTACAATTAAAATCTAGTGGACTATTCGGTAAGTAAAGTAACATTTATAATTTAAGTTTCCCCCAGAAATTTTACATATCGTTCGTATGAACTTTGGTTTTTACAGTTTTTATATTAATATCTTGCCACGATCAATTGTACTATTTTCAAATATCCATGTCTCATCAGTAAAAACAAAACAAAATTGAAGGTTAGAACCTGCTGTATCCTGCTTATACCTTATATCCTCTTAAACGCTGTATCCTTGGATGGTTTTTCTTCCAATTACAGTCTTTTTCTTTAAATAAACTGCTTAATGATCAATTTCAAAAGTTAAATAAACAACATAACATTATAAAATTGTGTTTAATCCGTTGTTTATATGACATATCCAATAATACATCTCTCTCTCTCTCTCTCTCTCTCTCTCTCTCCATCTCCCTCTCTCCCTCGCTCCCTCCCTCCCTCTCCCCTCCACCCCACTGCCCCCTCCCTCCCCCCTCTCCCCTCCCTCCCCCTCCCACCTTCCCTCTCTCTCTCTCTCCCTCCCTCCCTCCCTCCCTCTCTCTCTCTCTCTCTCTCTCTCTAATATTAATAATAATGTATTTAGAATACAATCAGTGTATTATGGATTTCGTCAAGTAGGTTACAATTAGGTACACAATATGAGGCAGAAAACTACATTCAAAATTAATATAACAAAAAAATGTGACAGAGAGCAACAGTACAGTAATAACAAACATTAATAATTAAAATTTTCCTTTAAATTATTAAAACCGTGTTGCGGGAGAAAAAATTTTAGTTTGCATTTAAAATTCTTTATATTACTATTGCTTTCTAACACCGGTGTTCGTTAAATATTTTTTTCGAAAACTCTAGATTATTTTTTATAGAGGAACAGTCTTTGTCACATGTATTATAGTAGCGAAAATCTCCGATTTTTTGTAAGTTATAATATGTATATATACACCTCAGGACTTTCTTCTGGGATTGGAAAACAGTAAAACTAACTAGTACTAGTTGTATTAGTTGTGATAATAACTTAATAATATTGTACAATTCTGTTAATAGTTAATAATGGTTTCAGTTGGATTTATTTTTTTAATCTTTTTTATTTATGATTGGGTTATAGTTATTTTTTTATATTTCTAGTTATTTAATTAGTTTCGAATGCTTCGCATTCTAGTAAAAGGTATTTGCACTAATAGTTCCAGGTTTGATCTAGTGAGCCGTAAGTGCTTACAAACTAATGCACCCAAGGATACACAGAGCATTTCTGAATTTTTTAGTATGTTAACGAGTTTGTGAATGCGATGAAGCCTGGGTTTCAAGTGCAAGTTGTTTCAGTTTTGCCAAATATTTAATTTTTGGTAAAATAAGTATTGCAGTTGAGCTTGTGAATTTTTATGAGTAAAATTCAATTACTAAATTAAACTAAAACTTTTATATATAGCTTTTATTATGATTAGAAGCATTGTGTTGAAGTAAAACCATTGTTTTATATATATTAAGCCGCTGTTTGATACTTGCCATAATAATTCTACCCATAGTCATAGTCATAAATACTCAAGTTGTAAATATTTGCTCCCCTGATGACTTTAGTCTTTTGTCCGTAATGTTATCTATCCCCCTTTTTTATTTCAAGTTTTTGCAGTAATTTATTCAAGTAACTTGAATCTGTAGGTAGTTGAACAAACAATTTTTTATTATATATCCAGCTAAACTTGTTTCTATGGCCGTCTACCCAATAGTTATGTACGCGGTAATGCAATTATTTAAAATAATTTAAAATTTAGTTCTGAATAGGAATATTAAAATATCATTTTTATAGAAATTTTTGCAAACTCGAAATCGACCAACAACTCGATGTTGAAAGCAAGGAACTATTTGTTTTTCCTCTTGTCGTTGCCACTCTTAATGGATAAAGTTTATTATACAATATTAAAAATAACTAAGGTGAAACTTTTAAACCTGTCGCATTTGGAAGTTTGGCTAATTAAAGTTGTGTTGGCACTATATACGAGAATACGCGCAACTTTTCAAGAAATAGACTCGTAAAAATAACAAACCCGAATACGGCAAGGAAATCCGCGTTCCATTACGATGAAATTAAAAAACTTTTCGAATTACTCGTCAAAAGGGTCGTCGCCGATTCAAACCTTTGACGTTTATCAACCTATTCCGCCGCGCCATGAGAGATTTTACTTAGCAGTGTTGAGGAGCGAATAGTTTTTCCGTTTCCCCATGGGTGTTGGCTTTCTAAGGTCGCCACGTTTACATCGCATTTGGCCTCTGCGTTTGTTTACACCGCTTAAATAGCTTAATAGGTATAATAGTTCAACGAGAATTGCAAAACACAAATTTGCATCAAGGGTAAAAAAAATTACCTGAGGTGAGCGTTAATCGACTTTACTAATTCAATTCGCGGACTACAATATATAGCCAAGAGATTTGGGACGTTGCATCTCACACTAAAGGTACCATATCAACGAATTTATTTTTTGCAGGAATGCTCTCGGTTGCGGCCGTCGGAATCCTGATGGTCTGCACCTCCACCCTAATGTTCTTTCACGATCCGTTGGAAATGATTATACGATTGGTGCGTATTCGGGCAAGCACAATGGCGTTCTACGAAATATTAACCGCGATCGTACCGTAGGTGTTGAATTTATCCGAAGGCAGCATATTCTACAGTCTCTGGTCTCAGCCTCCCTACGAAGTCCTACTCAAAATATACATCTTCAACGTGACCAACTCGGAAGAATTTCTCAAGGGAGACGAGAAAATGAACCTCACTCAGATCGGACCTTACGTCTACAAGTAAGTTGCCACACCCGCAACACAGAGAAAAGAAACACAAATGCGAAATCGCAATATTTTCCGAGTCAAAATTCAAAAGGTATCGTTACAAACGTGTTTCAGAAATATTGGGTTGTTCGGAAAGTCATTTCGTTTTTTTTGGGGAACATGAAAGACAGTTTTCGTATAATGAATAAATATTTTATTAAATTATATATTGGCCATTCTGGTCCAATACCTTTTGCCATCTTTCTGGCAGTAACATAATTCCCCTCTCATAAAAGTTTTGGTCCTTGCTGGCAAAAAACTGGTTCAGGTGGTTTTTGACATCTTCATTTGAGGTAAAGGTTTTGCCATCCAAAAAATTTTGCAGGGACCGGAACAAATAGTAGTCGGAAGGCGCCAGATCTGGAGAATATGGTGGATGTTGCGGTACGTCCCATTCAAGCTGTAAAAGTTTTTGGCGAGTGACCAAACTTGTGTGAGGTCTCGCATTATCCTGGTGGAACACTACACCCTTCCTGTTGATTAATTCGGGCCTCTTCTCTTTAAGTGGATCATTCAATTTGTCCAGTTGATGACAATAGACTTCTGAATTAATCGTTGTATTGTCCCGCAAAAGCTCAAAAAAAACGATTCCTTTGACATCCCACCAAACGGAGAGCATCACCTTTTTTTGGTGAATGTTGGCTTTTGACACGCTTTGAGCCGGTTCATCTTTTCTGCTCCATGACCTCTTGCGTTTAACATTGTTGTATACAACCCATTTTTCGTCCCCAGTAATAATCCGCTTCAAAAATGGATCATTTTCTTGACGTTTGAGGAGCAAATCACACACGTCAACGCGACGACACAAATTTCGCTCCGTAAGGACATGGGGCACCCACACATCGAGCTTCGAGGTTAAGCCCATGCCTTTCAAATGACCATAAACAGTCGAATTCGACAAATTTAATCTCTCACCGATCTCTCGTGTGGTTATTCGCCGATTTGCATCAACTAATGCCTTTATCGCATCTTTGTCAGCTTCGACCGGCCTTCCAGACCGTGGTGCATCTTCGACATCAAAATTGCCGGATCGAAATTTTGCAAACCAGTTCTGGCACTGGCGTACTGTTAACACGCCTTCTCCATACACATCCGTCAATTTTTTTCTCGCTTGGACAGCATTTTTACCTTTTCTGAAGTAAAAAAGTAAAATATGACGAAAATGCTGCTTATTGCTCTCCATATTTAAAAGGGCACCAACCAAAAACTACTGCGTAGAATTAATAGAACTTTTTCACACACAAGCCTTGCAATATCAGCTCTCAAGACATATAATGGTTATGCGGCTTAAGTGTGAAGTTGGTTTCGAAAAAACGTAATTAAGTCCTCTGACGGGAAAAAACGAAATGACTTTCCGAACAACCTTATATGTCATTAGAGGGCACTTTACCTAGAACATTTTTTTTATTTTCCTTGCGTTTATTTTTTTTGACTGATATTGTAAAATAGAACAGATTATATGCATAAGTCAGGAATTAAACAGTATAAGACGCTCATTTTCAAAATGCCCAGCGTTAATTTCTAAAAATTTCTTTATACATTTTAAAAAATGCTGTCGAGCCTTAAAAGAGGTAATAGGTGTTTCATACACTAAAGACTTTAAGTGCCCCCCCCCAAAAAAAAGTCCATCGGATTAAGGTCTGGTGAGCGAGGCGGCTAGGCGAGAAGTCCACGCCGACCTATCCACCGATGTTCAAATGCACGATTTAAATACCTCCGTACAGCCAATGTCAAATGGGGTCGAGCGCCATCTTGCATTAGCCATATGTTTTGTCTCCACTGCAAGGGTATCTTTTCCAGCAAAGGTGATAGTTCCTCTTAGAGAAATTGCAAATACATTTCCCCATTAAGCGATCCGATAAAAAAATGAGGTTCTAGAAGGTTATCTCCTGCCCATACATTTAAAGAAAATTCACAACGCCATCGCGACTCAATATAGCCCCGTCAGTGAATAAAATGACTATATAGTGTATATTGATTAATATCTTAACAAATGGAACGTGTCAATCGTGCTTGGTCTGCAGTTTCATTTGCTCTTCCGTAGCAAAAACGCATATCGTATTTGAATATTCCTGATGGGTCATCACAGTAGCAGTTGGATAATAAGCTCTTTTAATAGAAACTAATTATTAACGGATTGTGACAATGATTAGGTCAAATTACATTTACAGGTAAAATTGGAGCCGAGAATAAAAAATCGACTCGTGGCCAAACGATAACACTTATCGACTTAAAACAGGAGTAACAATTTTTGAGAATTTGTGATTTTGCTTAATACAATCTGTTCTATTTTGCAATGTTAGTCTAAATAAATAACCAAAAAAGTAAAAGAAATGTCCTAGGTAAAAAACACTTAAAAAAATGGATTTTGAAAACCTATAGTATACTACCACTTCGAATCATTCCTCCAAGTTTCCGAACACCCTGTATAATAATTCTAATTCTAATTCGCAGGGAAATTCTCACCAACAACAACGCAACGTTCGACGAAGATAGGGGCACCGTCACCTACAAGCCGCACCGCGAAGTGGTGCTCGACCACGAGCGATCGGTGGGCGACCCCAAGACCGACAAGCTCATCACCCCCAATATCCCCCTACTGGTGCGCACGAGTCTCCTACTTCGCGCAACATTTTACCGGGTTTTTGGTTGCAGGGCTTGCAGTCTTACCTCAACGAGGCCTCTTTTTTCACCAACCTCGCGTTTTCCACCTTCGCCAGGTCTATAGGTTCCAAACCCATCATAGACTTGACGATAGACCAATATCTGTGGGGCTACGAGGATAAGCTGATCGACTACGCTCACCAGTATCTACCCTCGTGGATCGACTTCAAGAGGTTCGGTCTTCTCGAGCGTGTGAGTTACGTCTTTGCACCTATAACTCTTATGAAATTGAAGGTAATTTTGATTACAGTTGTTGAGCAGGGACAACAATAACCGCGTGACGATTGTGAAAGACCCCTCCAAGTATCACTCGGCTACTGACCACTACCTGACAGAAGAGGAACGCCTGTCGCAGTATCACGTGGTGGAATGGAACGACTCGCCCGGTCTTTTAGACTGGGGCTACAAGAATTTGAATGGTACATCGGGACAAGTGAAGAAATGCCACTTGGTGGAGGGAGCGTACGACGGCACCATATTCCCCAGAGACCTGAGGCCCAACCGTAGGGTCACCTTGTTCAGGAAGGCGTTTTGCAGGCCGGTCCCACTCGAGTTCATCAAAGACAAGACCACCAACCAGGGCTTCAGGGCGTTCGAGTACAAGCTCGCAGACGATATGTTCGACGTTATACCCGAGAACGAATGCTTCTGCTACAAGGGCAAGTGCGTCAAGGGCATTCAGAGCATCGCTCCGTGTTACTACGGAATACCCATAGCCCTATCCCAGCCTCACTTCCTGAACGCGGAGCCGCGACTCTTGGATACCGTTAACGGTCTGAAACCGGACGTGGGAGCCCACGGTAGCGTCTGTTCCATCCAACCGGACCTGGGTGTGCCGCTCGACGGTCACCTGCGCATCCAGATAAACTTGGACATCGGCCAGACGAAGTACAACTCGAGGACGCGCGTGTTCAACGACCTGAACATCCCGCTGTTCTGGATCGAGGTCACCACTACGGAACTGCCATCTCTGGTGGTGTTTCTTTTGACGCTGATCTGCACGGTGGTTCCCATTGTTCTGGTGATCCTCAAGTACGTGTTGGTGCTTGGCGGGTTGGCGATGATATCGGGCACAGCAGCTTATGTGGTGTTTAAAGCACGAATGAGCATACCAGCAGGTATCAGCTTGAACTCGGAGTATACCGCCATACCGCTGATATCCATACCCAACGAGTACTTGCACAAAATGGAGAAACGGTTGAGTTTGAAATAGCGGTTCAGAGGCGAAGCAGGATTTTCCAGGGTACATAGCCTTTTGCACGAGAGCTGACGAGGACAGTGGATATGTGATGTGGGGGCGGGACACGGGGGTCGGTAAATTTGTATTGTAGTGAAATTCACTTGCGAAATGTACCGGGAAAAACGAGATCCGGTTTATTTTTCTTTTTTTTAAGCCGACTACCAAAGAGTGATACAAATTTTTGACATAACGTATCGGAAATCGCCAGGTTTGGGTTTCTTTTAGGAATTTTAAATTTTTAAACGAAGCTAAGGTTTTTCGAGTTTACCCAGTGAGCAGCACAGTGAGTATCACATTGGGAAAGTCAGTAGGTGCTGGTCGAGGATTAAATCGCTGTTAATTTCCCTGCGGCTTAGCCCTCGGCCGACTTCGACACAAAATGGCGAATCGATAGCAAATAGTAGGGACTCGTTTTTCACACTGTGGGTAATTTTAGTTTTTTTTTTTTTTTGTTGTAAATAGAGACTGATTTATTTTTAACTGTTATTTTTAGTTTTCCCTGTAAATATAGTAATATAGTAAACGGTATTCCTTTTCGGCCGAAAGTTTGCCATAGTTATTTATGCGACAGCTTGGTTTTTTGCGATATTTTGTATTACTTAGGTATTTGTATTGAAATAAAAAATTCGACGGAATTTTGTTTTTTCTTTATACACAAAATAAATAACTAACGCGAAGGGTATAGCATCACAGGAGACGGGAGGGTGTTAAGTTTTCTTGCGCGATCGGATTTTAGACTTGATCCACGGCAGGTAATAAGAAAGCCGCGTGTACACGTCGGGAAAGCCCGGCTTTGCGCACCCGGAGCCGAACGACGTGATGCCGGCCAAAATCCAGCGTCCGTCTTCCATGGCGCATTGCAACGGACCTCCGGAATCACCCTAAAACCAAGCGAGATCGGTTATACCGATTCTGATGACGCAGATGGGCTGGGGAATTCAATAGGTTGACGATAGGCAACACACAAAACAAGAGCGTACGTGCGGTCACAGAAGATGTGACAGTGAGCTTAGTCCAAATTTTATTAAGGGGTGGCAGGTGGTAATAGGGAGTGTTTTCTTTGTCTTAAGAGGTTGTATATATTTGTGCTGGTATTTTGGGAGCAAATAATTGAATTAACCAGTTGTGAGTTATTGTAACTATTTTTAGCAGTGAAAATATAAGGAAAGCATTTACACCTACGGCCATATTGCATCTTACTGTGTTGTCTTACCAAATAATAACTCATCATGCTATTATACAGGGTGTCCCACTTAAGAACTGTACACAATTGTAAAATCTTTGTTTGTGGTTCGATTTTGATAGTTTTTTAATGGATAGGTCTCTGTAAAATGCACTAAAAGCTTGTTTTATTTGTTGTTTCAACTTAAAGTCATGGCCAACTCAGAGTATTTAACAAAACAGAGAGAAAAGAGAAGTACAATTACGGATTTTTTTTAAATAAATTGTCATTGAATTCTTATTCAGGAGTACTTAGAACCAAACCATACCTTATTTTTCTTATTACATCAACCTGAATAAGAATCCGTTGACACTATTTTGTTAGAGATATCCCTAATAGTCCTTCTCGATATTTGACAAAATTTGTCGCAGTTAGCCATGACTTTAGGTTGATGTAATAGGAAACATTAGGTTTTAGTACGTTTTTGAGAAATCGATGCAACAAAAAAAATTATCAAACTCAAACGGTACATCTATGTACGGCTTTAAGCGGGGCGCAAAACGATATTTCAAACGCCCTGTATTGAAACGTGAATATTTTTGCTTATTATTTATAAATCAAAAATAAGTCAGTATTTTGGTATTCAGCTGATTTTGTAAACACAAAAATTTAAAAATAAAGTTTAAAATATTTCTCTAAATTCCTTAAATGATGTATTTATAGAAATATGTGCCCAAAAATGTCAAAAAAACTGAAAAATTTAGAATTTCCAAATATATCAATTATGGTGACCCATTTTTGGAAGGTTTTTTCAGAAGTGTAATGTAATATGCAAATAATTTCAGTAAGACTATGTCTTTAGATAAATTAATCAAGAAACAAGAACAAATTATTCTCCTACGAGGAATTAAAAGACAACAATCTCCATTACTAACTGCTAAAGCTGTTTAGATCGAATTCATTGGACTTTGTTGATGGTACACTGCAATTGCACTCGAAATTTATAGCAAACAGCATAGTCTTCGCCCTTCTAAGCTGAGTTTTTTAATAAAATAAATATTTCAAAATACGGACATGCTGTATAACTTAAGAAAAACTTTTAATGAAGTTGCACTGCTAAATATATTTTATTATAGTGTGCATTTAGCCTCTAAATTATAAAAATTGAACTGAGGTGGCTTTTATTTGATGAAAATCCATTTATCAAAATAAATAAGAACTAAAATTATATATTATGACATGACAATTGTTTCGACAACACCGTGTCTTTATCAAATGTCAAATTATAATATTAGTACACCTTTTTAATCTTCTTTGTTGTTGTTATTTGTATTAGGCAATTATATATTTTATGGGGCTTGTGGATTTGGCGGCAAAAGCACTAACTTTCATTTATTATATTCTTATTTATTTGAGGTTATGTATTGAAAAAGCAGTTTATGAAGAAGAGTCCGCAAAGTAGATATTAGGCTAACTAGTAATATTTTTAATTTAATGAATTTTCGTGACTTTCGAGTCAAGAATTATACCGGACGTCTTTTTTTTCTAATTTATGCACTTTTTGCATATTCGTCATTTAAATTTTTCTAAATGTAAAATAAAATGTTTCCTTGAATTATTCTTAATGAAAATATTTGTGCAACTTTACGATATTGTTATATTTCTTGTCTTAGATAATACTAATATTAATATAATAGCAATATTTAATGAAATAGAAAAAAAATTGATCTTCATTAAACTTAAGTATTGGGTGTATATACGTTTGCAAATATAACTACTAGATAGCCTAACCTTGCTAGATTTTCTTAATATTATAATTTTTCGATAACAAGCCACATAACCTCAAATATTTCATGAACTGTGGGAATCTAAAATAGATCAGTCAGATGAAGCACTAAATCCAAAAACGCTATATTATATTCGATGTTCCAGTTAAAATTCCAAAGTTAACGTCAATATACCCTGTATAATCCGAAAGCGAATAATATAAAAATTCCCTCATCTACAATTACATTACAATTACAATTCTTGTTTTCAACATTACAGAAAATCATGCCGGCGAGGTTTTAAAGAAATAAAATACTTACTTTTCCATTTATGTATTTATTAAAGCTGTGTTTAAAACAACAGGCAAAGACTTGCGATGCAAACAAAATATCACCAGCCAAAAAAAACTTAAGGAAATTTAAGCACATCTATTATAAAAAATGGCCAGACTATTCTGGAGCATACTATTTCAATCGTTGTCACAAATGAAAAACGGTTTATTAAAAAAGCTATAAAGCTGTATCTATATTACAAGAGAAGTTGAGTTGTTCTACAACAATGAAGCAAACAATATTCGGGAGATATGATTTATAAGATAGAAGATAGACCATAAAACACTTCGCAGAAAATGCTGACTTCAGCGTTCCTATTATTTGCTTTCCCATAGAAATTTATAAATATATTCAAAACTTCGTTCATAATAGTTTTGTCTGTAAAAACAAAAAGCCGATTTTTACGAGATTCGTCATTTGAAAACCTTAACTTATGAAAAATATGATGCTCTGATACACAAAAGTTGTCACAGATGAAAGACTGTTTGTTAAAAAAGCTATAAAGCTGTATCTATATTATAAGAGAATTTGAGTTGTTCTACAACAATGAAACAAACAATATTCGGGAGATATGATTTATAAGATAGAAGATAGACGATAAAATACTTCGCAGAAAATGCTGACTTCAGCGTTCCTATTATTTGCTTTCCCATAGAAATATTATAAATATATTCAAAACTTCGTTCATAATTGTTTTGTCTGTAAAAACAAAAATCCGATTTTTATAAACGAGATTCGTCATTTGAAAACCTTAACTTATGAAAAATATGATGCTCTGATACACAAAAGTTTTCACAGATGAAAGACTGTTTGTTAAAAAAGCTATAAAGCTGTATCTATATTATAAGAGAAGTTGAGTTGTTCTACAACAATGAAACAAACAATATTCGGGAGATATGATTTATAAGATAGAAGATCGACGATAAAACACTTCGCAGAAAATGCTGACTTCAGCGTTCCTATTATTTGCTTTCCCATAGAAATTTATAAATATATCCAAAACTTCGTTCATAATGGTTTTGTCTGTAAAAACAAAAAGCCGATTTTTATAAATGAGATTCGTCATTTGAAAACCTTAACTTATGAAAAATATGATGCTCTGATACACAAAAGTTGTCACAGATGAGAGACTGTTTGTTAAAAAAGCTATAAAGCTGTATCTATATTATAAGAGAAGTTGAAAAGTTCTACTACAATGAAACAACAATATTCGGGAGATATGATTTATAAGATAGAAGATAGATGATAAAACACTTCGCAGAAAATGCTAACTTTAGCGTTCCTATTATTTGCTTTCCCATAGAAATTTATAAATATATTCAAAACTTCGTTCATAATAGTTTTGTCTGTTAAAACAAAAATCCGATTTTTATAAACGAGATTCGTCATTCGAAAACCTTAACTTATGAAAAATATGATGCTCTGATACACAAAAGTTGTCACAGATGAATGACTGTTTGTTAAAAAAGCTATAAAGCTGTATCTATATTATAAGAGAAGTTGAAAAGTTCTACTACAATGAAACAACAATATTCGGGAGATATGATTTATAAGATAGAAGATAGACGATAAAACACTTCGCAGAAAATGGTAACTTCAGCGTTTCTATTATTTGCTTTCCCATAGAAATTTATAAATATATTCAAAACTGCGTTCATAAAAGTTTTGTCTGTAAAAACAAAAAGCCGATTTTTATAAATGAGATTCGTCATTTGAAAACCTTAACTTATGAAAAATATGATGTTCTGATATACAAAAGTTGTCACAGATGAAAGACTGTTTGTTAAAAAAGCTATAAAGCTGTATCTATATTATAAGAGAATTTGAGGTGTTCTACAACAATGAAACAAACAATATTCGGGAGATATGATTTATAAGATAGAAGATAGACGATAAAACACTTCGCAGAAAATGCTGACTTCAGCGTTCCTATTATTTGCTTTCCCATAGAAATATTATAAATATATTCAAAACTTCGTTCATAATAGTTTTGTCTGTAAAAACAAAAAGCCGATTTTTATAAATGAGATTCGTCATTTGAAAACCTTAACTTATGAAAAATATGATGCTCTGATACACAAAAGTTGTCACAGATGAAAGACTGTTTGTTAAAAAAGCTATAAAGCTGTATCTATATTATAAGATAAGTTGAAAAGTTCTACTACAATGAAACAACAATATTCGGGAGATATGATTTATAAGATAGAAGATAGACCATAAAACACTTCGCAGAAAATGCTGACTTCAGCGTTCCTATTATTTGCTTTCCCATAGAAATATTATAAATATATTCAAAACTTCGTTCATTATAGTTTTGTCTGTAAAAACAAAAATCCGATTTTTATAAACGAGATTCGTCATTTGAAAACCTTAACTTATGAAAAATATGATGCTCTGATACACAAAAGTTGTCACAGATGAAAGACTGTTTGTTAAAAAAGCTATAAAGCTGTATCTATATTATAAGAGAAGTTGAAAAGTTCTACTACAATGAAACAACAATATTCGGGAGATATGATTTATAAGATAGAAGATAGACCATAAAACACTTCGCAGAAAATGCTGACTTCAGCGTTCCTATTATTTGCTTTCCCATAGAAATATTATAAATATATTCAAAACTTCGTTCATAATAGTTTTGTCTGTAAAAACAAAAATCCGATTTTTATAAACGAGATTCGTCATTTGAAAACCTTAACTTATGAAAAATATGATGCTGTCATGCTTAGGTTTATATTTTGATCTTTTATTTAAAAGGAATGACTAATGAATGAAGCAATTTAGGTACCTTAGTGTATATTTCAAATGAAGGGATTTTTGAACTTCAACTAGTTCTTGTAAATGGTCGCTTACCACGCACGTTCCGCTGGACCCGTCCAAATGGCCAGCACACAAGTGCCCTGACCGGATGTTCACTGAATGTCCGTATTTCTTCTTGCAGATGGCGTTGTCGTGAACCGGGACTCTCGCTTCGAGCAATCTTCCGGCCAGCTGGCCGTCTTCCAAATCTCTGCCCCAACCGGTGGCGACGCAGAAATCTGTCTGATTGTGAGTCATCCTCGTGGATGGCAAACAAACTGCCCGTACGCGGGTGCTTTTGGAAAACTTCACCGGTCGCGACAACTTCATCAGAGCTGTGGGCAATGAGAGAAGACCCGGTCATCATGCTTTGTTTACCGGAGCTCATTCATAAGGAATCGTAAAGTTTCAAGAAGGGCTTGCATTGCGCTTGCGCTTGTAAGATAGACAGTTGCGGTTTACAACACATTTTTCTAATTTTCTGTAAAATTAAAGATGCCGTCAACAAAATTAGCATGGCCCTCTTGGTTTTTCAGATACAGGGTGTTGTCTTTTAAGTTATTGAAGAGTTTCCAAAAACGTTCATATGGGATTTTTTCCTCCAGGGGCGTAGTTTGTTTTTTACTTGCTCTAACCTTTTGTTAATTATGAAGCACACACACACACATAGTTGTATTTTTATGTATATAATGTGTATATAAAATTATATCTAAGGAATATTAACATAATATTATACCTAAAACAGTTATTCAAATCGCATATATTTCTTACCTCGTATCGTATTTTATATACTTTATCGTCTATCTTAAAATCTTAAAAGTCCAGAGTAATGACTTGAGGCACCATCTTGATATGTATGGATAATATACTATGGTAATATCTTCGCGTAATCCTGGAATAACTTTCTCGAGAATGTTTAGGTACCTATGTGTTGTAAATTCGGTAGGGCTATTCGTTGTCTCAAAATAAAACACGATACCCCAACGCCAAGGCTTCTTTTTGGGCCCTTCCAAAAATTAAATGGTGGTTTTCTGCCGACCAGTTCCTCGTGTTATGACGATTAAACATTCTCGAACGTGAAAAGTAATATAATATAATAAGTCTCCCAAAAGAGTAGTTGATTCGTATTTCTTGCAAATACCATCAATAATATCAAAACTGCATCCGACGGTCGCCATCACCAGAATTCAAATGTTGAGCACGCTTTAACTTGTATGAATTGTATTTGTATTTTTTTTTAATTTCTTAGGCAGTCGATTTTAGTCAATTGCTTGTTTTATGTTTTTGCAAGATGATGACGAACATTTTTTGAACTCTTCAACAACTGATAAGACAACGGAGATACGAGGGTGGTCCCAAAATCGATAGTTTTGGATTTCACGCTGTATCTCATCTCATCTTTGATTTCATCAAAAAGTAACACAGTGTCTTATGATCTTATCTTATGATATTGTAAACACCAGAACCAAATAGCGAATACTGATGCTTTGATCTAAACAAGCATACTGTATGTAAAGGCGCTATCATTCTTACCTCTATCGCCGAGACAGAAATTGAATTGAAATGGAGGGATTTTCTCATTTCATTACTTTACGCTTTTCTGAAATAGGCTTTGTTCTGTAAGTACCATTTGACTCGTACAAAACACAAGCAATAAAATGATCGAAACACTCGTACCTGGTTTTATACGACTTATCAATTATAAAACAGAGGAAAAAACCAAATGTTATGTTAAAGAATGGTTGAAAGCTGCTTAAGTATGCAAGCAAGAAACAATCTGGTACCGTGGTACAAGTAGATGCGAAGTGGTATAAAGCTTCCTGGTGAAGCGACTTACCAATATCGTGTTGAAAGTTGTGGAACCTCTCGTGTAAAATTATCTTCTCGATCTGGATCCTTTCCTCGGAATTTTCCTCGACTTCTCTGTCCCAATCGCCCAGAACCGCGGTCCACAGCGCCGCCAGCGGCAAATTGAATATGTCGCTGTAATTTTATAAACCCATGTGTCATACACTGAAATATCGGGTGGCTCACAGTAAATTAAATTGCCCCTATACACTAGAAGGTGAAGCAATGCGCTATTTGGACATTTATAATTATAATTCCCTGGAATTTTTCGCGGAAATCCTTGAAAATTTCTTGGAATTCTGTAGAATTCCTGTGACGTGGTTTTCAATTGATAAAAATCCATTTAACGTAATCAAAATAGAACAACAAATGTTAAATTCGTTAACGCGCATCTTAAATGTTCTCCCTGTTGTTATACTTGTAGACTCCGGATTTTTGAGTTTTTTGTGAATTAGTTTTATTGTTTTTTAAAAAAATTTCTATGGTGTTTTCAGTTTTAATAGCAATCTTAAGACCATATTTAGATAGATGTTTCGAAATTTTCTTGCTAGATTTATAATTTTATAATTTTTGGGTTCCGTGTTTAATATGAGATAGAGTTCAGAGTTTTTTAACAAATGTCTGCAAAATAAGGTTTTTACCAAATACATAAAATTGAAAACCAACAACAGAAGTCCCGTTGCAAAGAAAGCCCAGATCCAAGGCCAGACGAAATGGATGAAGGAAGAACGAATACACGAGTATAGAAAACGGGATTCAAACAGCATTTATGTAAAGGTAATACATTCTGAATTGTCTCATAGACTTAATCCCATAGAATTTGACACATTTGATTATAAAGTTCGAACAGACATTTCATCTATCGTCCATAAAAATTTATTAGACAAAAACTAAAGTTAGACGAATTAATTTCTAATTCAAAAATAGCTGAAAGCACGCCAGTTATTACAAAGTATATTGACCATCAATTTTACAATAGGTTCATAAACTTAACAGACACAACATTTTCTAAAAATGAAGTTGAATTTCTGGAAAAAGGTTTCAACTTTAACTTACAACACTCGCACATTAATAGAGATAGATTGTGAATTAGCAATTAAGGATACTAACGATTCTAATTTAAAAAAACATGTATTAGCGAATATAATAAACTCTCAATGAATAGATAACAACAAACACAAAGAAATTTCTCAAATGTCACTAGTTAAAACTATCGAAAACAAAGCTTCTGAAAATAACATAATATTTACACGTGCAGATAAAGGGAAGACAGTCATAGCTATCGATCTCCCAGAATATATTTCAAAAACCAACAATTTTCTTAAATCAGAACTTTTCCTTTGTATCAAACACGATCCTACTGAGTTATATCAAAGACAAATCAAGGATGTAGTTACTAACTTCACACTATTTAGTGACAAAGACAAATATTTTTTAACAATCATGAATCTACAACCGCCTAAATTATATTCTTTAGTTAAATTACATAAACAAGCTTTGCCCATTAGATCAGTCGTGTCTTATGTAACAGCTCCAGCAGTTAAACTCTCTACAAAATTAGTAAATATTTTAAAGTTCCACACAGATTTTAAGCCAAAATTTACAATAAATAATTCTTTTGAATTAATCAACAAAATAAATCCCTTCTAACGCCACAGGTTAACCCATTGGTGAAACAAGATTTATTAGATTGCTTAATAGTATATTTAGACCAAAATTATTTTGAATTTAATGGACAGATTTATATCTCTAAAGAAGGTTTGATTATGGGAAACCCACTTAGTCCTTCGTTAGCCGAGATTTTTATGGATAATTTAAACTCTCTACAAAATTAGTAATTATTTTAAAGTTACACACAGATTTTAAACCAACATTTGCAATAAAAAATTCTTTTGAATTAATCAACAAAATTAAAGATATCAAAATCCCTTCTAACGCAACTCTATTGTCTTTTGATGTACAAAACTTATTTCCCAGTATTCTACCTATGGATGTGATAGATTTTGTAGATTTTACCCTAACTCGGAAACAGGTTAACCCATTGGTGAAACAAGATTTATTAGATTGCTTAATAGCATCTTTAGACCAAAATTATTTTGAATTTAATGGACAGATTTATATCTCTATAGAAGGTTTGATTATGGGAAATCCACTTAGTCCTTTGTTAGCCGAGATTTCTATGGATAATTTGAAAAATATCATACTAGAACATCCTTTAAGTAAAAGTTTTCTATGGTGGTATAGATATGTGGACGATGTCTTTGCTTGCTTTATTGGAACAGACAGACAATTGAATTCTTTTTTAAATTACATTAACTCAATACATAATCGTATAATACTCACTATCGAGATTGAACAGGATAACTCTATTAATTTTTTAGACTTAACTATTACAAAAGTGCAACACAAATTAGATTTTTCAATATATCATAAACCTTCACACACGGACACAGTCATACATAACAGCTAAAATCACCCTTACACACACAAAATGGCTGCATTTCACTCTTTTATACACAGACTTCTTAATACGCCACTCTCAACAGAAAATTACAACAAAGAACTTAATATCATTAAACAAATAGCACTGAACAACGGCTACAATCCGTCCATTATAGATAAAATTATAAATAAAAAACAAATACAGACAACAGTAAACTCTACTTATCCGAAACCAAATACAGAACACGAACAATTTAAAACAATAACATACATAGGAGAAAAAGTTTCAAAACATTTGTCAAAATGTGGTTTAAAAATAGCTTTCAGAACTAACAACACAAAAGGAAAATATTTAAAAAACAATAAATCGAAATGTCCAAAATCCCAAAAATCAGGTGTCTACAGGTTGCAATGTGGATTTTGTCCTAAAATTTATATTGGACAAACAGGTAGATCCTTCAAGAAACGCATTAACGAACATATAAGAGCGTTTAAAAACAATAGTCTAGATTCTAACTATGCCACACACTTAAACACAGATAAACACATTTTTGACGACAATTTTGATATATTACACGCAGCCACAAAAAGTAGAAAATTAAATTTATGGAAAGCCATGGAGATTAACAAAATGATCAATTAGATTTAAATACCTCCCCTTTACTGAACTTAAATTCTCGCAACAACATTAATTAAGGTTTTATGGTTATTTGAAACTGTATTTTAGTTATAATCTATCTATCAAGGACGAATCGTAACTATTGCTAAAAACTATTTGTTTTATAATCTTTTTCAAAATTTTCTCTATAAAGTGTATATTAGTGTGGCCGTGTGTGAGAGTTTAAATGGAAAACCCTAATTTGTTCTGTAATTTAATTATGGAAAGTCCAGAGAGAATCTGGTTCCGTCTCTATGGTAAATTTCATATGGTTATGTATAGAGATAATATGTTTCAAAGAGGGCTGCAGTTGTCTTTCCGTTCCAGCGAAGCAAGCAAAAAAATTATCTATGTAGAGAGAAATCTTTTATATACTCAGAGGATGTCTCTGTATGATATTTTCTAAATTGTCATTGAATATTAATTAAATTCAAAATAATCTTGATTTAAACAAACCATTAAACTATCTTACAAGTCTTTTTTTATGATAGGGTTGACTTGTCTCTGAGTGAAAATATTGGCTGTTATGTTTATTACGTCAATTGGTGGAATTATAGGAGAATCGATTTTCGACGTTAATATGATATTTAATATCATATTCTAACATTTTTATTAATCCTGTCGAGAGTTTAACTCATGGTGTTGTTACAAAAGAAACTACAGGCGTAATTGGCAAATCCTGTTTATGTGATTGAATTGAAGAATATAATTTTGCAAGTTCAGGATTCATTGGTCGATGTTTTTCGCTGCCTTAAAGTTGGAATTCTGTGCAATTCTTCTGTAATTCGATTTTTTAAAATTCCACGAATCGGTTTTGAAAACAAATAAGCCCAAACATTTTTAGAAATTATAATTAAGAGTAAATGAGTGATCTGCACGGTATTGGGTCCAATCCGCTTTTCGCGCAATAATAACATGACATCTATGGAGCACCACGGGCTCCAATTTGATTCGGACGAATTTTAATCAGAACAATCGGGCGAAACCAAACATTATGATAAGCGATTTGACGAATTAACGATGGCGATCGCGCAATATGCATTCCCGGCGACTTTTCCGGGCAAAATCAAAGAAAAACATTCGCGCCGTTTTGACAAAAGAGACGTGCGACGTAAGTGCGGATAGAGTGGATTGCTAATTTTAATTACTAATTAATCAACTAATTAAGTATATAATTATTAATTAATACATAATTATATAATTAAGAATTATCCATTTGCCTAATTAGCCAATTTTAATTAAGTTTGTTATTTGTCAAAGCGAGGCCTAGCAATTTGTTTGACTAGTTATCTCCTTCAGTTCGATAGGCAATTTATTACAAATTTTTACAGTCAAAACAAAGGGACTATTTGCTGTAAGAGACAGTCGATGTGTAGGTATTTTTGTGTTAAGATTCGGCCTTAAACTGTACTGAATATCTGAGTTTCTTGAGGGCATATAAAGATTAGAGTTACTTTTTACATACGTGGCACAATTTAGTATGTACATACTAGGAAGTGTCAATAAAGAGTGTTGTGGAAATAGGTTCCGACATGAAAAATTCCAGGGCTTAAACAGTAAAGTCCGTAAAATGCGTTTCTGCATCCTAAAGACTTGCTCCGCACGTGGCGTTGTTGAGACACGAATAGACATACGAAAAATAGTACATTTTTAACAAGGCGAAAGAAACCTGATGGCGGAGCCTCCATATGACAACGCAGAAACAGAAAGTTTTCTGAGAATGTGGTCCACCTGTTCGAAGCAGGAGAGTCTCGAGTCTACATAAACTCCGAACACTTTTCTGTTGAATTGTGCTTTCATTAAAGCGTACTAATAAACTGTTATTTAAATCCCGTGTTGAAAAGGCGATCATCTCAGTTTTACTTTTATTCAATTTCAATTTGTTAATTTCTGCATAATGTTTCATTTGCTCAACCGTTGTCTTGGTTGCAATGCTAAGTTGCTCGGACGATGCTGCACAAAGGGTAGAAACTGCATCATCCGCAAGAAGGGAAAAGTCAGTATGGGGGAAAGATGAAAACACATCATTTATAAACACTATAAACAATAAAGGACCGAGTAAACTTCCTTGAGGTACACCACAATTCACTGACCTGGAATCAGAGACGTATTCAAATCCTAAGGTATCTCTCAATTTGACCAACTGCGTACGACCCCCCAAGAAAAGACCTTAACCAATTTAAGGCGTTACCTCTAATACCATATGAACAAAGCTTGTCCACGAAAATATCATCATCATTCAATTGGAAATTAGTAATTTATCAGTACTTACAACTATTAGGTAATAATTAGTACGTTTCTGATTGAAATTCAGCGTTTCGTTCGCTGAGCTGGGAAAATTAGGTGATACATGGAGTGGTAAGTACTTACTTACTAATGCAGTGCGCTGCGGTAAGAAGCCATTCTTGCGAAATCATCACGCCTCCGCACCAATGGCCCAAGAATCCGAACTGAGGATGTAACAGTTGAAGTGAAACCTGCACAATAAAATATCAACCAGTTTAGATTCATTGTTATACTTATAAGTTATTATGTTATTTTATATACTGGTTGTTTGTATATTTGTGGACAACCACTTATTTTAAATAGTATATTAAACAATTCTTGAATTCTTCTGAATTTTTAGACATACCAAAACTCACCAATACCCTAGAATTTTAATACAGGTCTCGTTAGAGAAACGAGCCCATAGAAACAAGAATTAGAAGAAGAAGAATAACCTATACCTTCATTCTCTGGGTGGCATTACACGAGACAGGTCTATCCGCGTTCGCTGCCCACAGAATCTGTGTTTTTCCACGTTAAGATCTGTTTTGCGTCAAATTTTTATTGTGTCGGCATATTTTAGGAATATTGAATTGTGTTTACCAATATTTGTAAACTGGCCAAAAGAAAAAAATCCTGATTTCTCTATCTATTTTATTAGTCTGTGATGAAATTTTAAAAACAAATAATTTTTTTCCAATGAAAATATCGTCAAAAATCACCACAGGAAAGTCACTACTTAGGTTTACTCTAAATTTGGAACTTAATATTTGACAGGTCTATGCCACCTAACTTAGTAGTCATTTTTTATTGTAACGACTATTTTAATACAAAAAAAAAGATATTCAAGTATACGAAACGTTTTTCTGAAAAAAAAAACTAAATAATGGAGAAAATACTAATAGGAAATTAAACAAATTAAAAAGACAGCTTATTAGTTATATCATACAAGATGAAAATGACATTTTTTTAATATAAAATTTTACCATTATACCAGTGTTTATAATAAATGTAATAATAACAAATAGCCTTTATTATAATACCAAAACATAGTTACACGAGTCGCGAGATCTAGCAGTACTACTCCACGTTACCACCGATACAATGTGATGAATGTTCAGAATAAATAAAATAAATAGCAAATATAAAATCAGCCCTTAAGTCCTCTTAAGTTTACACTATGACAAATGTTTTATCCTTTAATAAAATAAAGAAACAAATAGATACTGGAAAAAAGCAAGGAAAAAATTGAAAAAAGATTAAAAGAAAAACAACAAGAAAAAAAATCTCACCGGCTCTTTTAATTTAGTTTTAATATCGTTGTTATAAGGTTGTTCGGAAAGTCATTTCGTTTTTTCCCGTCAGAGGACTTAATTACGTTTTTTCGAAACCAACTTCACACTTAACCATTATATGTCTTGAGAGCTGATATTGCAAGGCTTGTGTGTGAAAAAGTTCTATTAATTCTACGCAGTAGTTTTTGGTTGGTGCGCTTTTAAATATGGAGAGCAATAAGCAGCATTTTCGTCATATTTTACTTTTTTACTTCAGAAAAGGTAAAAATGCTGTCCAAGCGAGAAAAAAATTGACGGATGTATATGGAGAAGGCGTGTTAACAGTACGCCAGTGCCAGAACTGGTTTGCAAAATTTCGATCCGGCAATTTTGATGTCGAAGATGCACCACGGTCTGGAAGGCCGGTCGAAGCTGACAAAGATGCGATAAAGGCATTAGTTGATGCAAATCGGCGAATAACCACACGAGAGATCGGTGAGAGATTAAATTTGTCGAATTCGACTGTTTATGGCAATTTGAAAGGCATGGGCTTAACCTCCAAGCTCGATGTGTGGGTGCCCCATGTCCTTACGGAGCGAAATTTGTGTCGTCGCGTTGATGTGTGTGATTCGCTCCTCAAACGTCAAGAAAATGATCAATTTTTGAAGCGGATTATTTCTGGGGACGAAAAATAGGTTGTATACAGCAAAAAAGATGAACCGGCTCAAAGCGTGTCAAAAGCCAACATTCACCAAAAAAAGGTGATGCTCTGCGTTTGGTGGGATGTCAAAGGAATCTTTTTTTTGAGCTTTTGCCGGACAATACAACGATTAATTCAGAAGTCTTTTGTCATCAACTGGACAAATTGAATGATTCACTTAAAGAGAAGAGGCCCGAATTAATCAACAGGAAGGGTGTAGTGTTCCACCAGGATAATGCGAGACCTCACACAAGTTTGATCACTCGCCAAAAACGTTTACAGTTTGAATGGGACGTACTGCAACATCCACCATATTCTCCAGATCTGGCGCCTTCCGACTACTATTTGTTCCGGTCCCTGCAAAATTTTTTGGATGGCAAAACCTTTACCTCAAATGAAGACGTCAAAAACCACCTGAACCAGTTTTTTGCCAGCAAGGACCAAAACTTTTATGACAGGGGAATTATGTTACTGCCAGAAAGATGGCAAAAGGTGTTGGACCAGAATGGCCAATATATAATTTAATAAAATATTTATTCATTATACGAAAACTGTCTTTCATGTTCCCCAAAAAAAACGAAATGACTTTCCGAACAACCCAATATATATGAAACGCAGCCTACTATGCTTGGGAACATAGAACCTAGAACATGGTTACGGTGACCACCCCTACCCCTAGAGATACCGAGGGTTTTCGTATCTAGTAATTTTATATACTAACGTAGAAAAATGCACCAAATAAATACCTTTCAGGCATATTTAACCACTGAGAATTCTTGAGTGCCGGCGTTATATGATCAAATTTACGCTAACCATAGCTGTATCTCAAGCAGGTATTTTGCCTTTTTTTTTTGCCGATCCGGATATATTTCAGCAAATGCTTTATTTTTCGTTGCTTCGCCGTTATCTTTTTGGGTAATTAATAGGCTTCTAGCTTTTAACCAGGAGAAAATATTGGACTATTAATATTTGGAAATAAAAAATATTTTAAATAGGAAAACTTATACAGTCACTAATTCATTTAGTGCCACATGTAATAAAAGCATTTCTATTTGAAGTAATTTTTTTTCATTCAAAATGTTAATGTTAGTTAGCTAAAGTATATATAAACCAATATAACCCAACCACCATATTTATAAAATAAATAATCAATATATTTAGACCTGTCAACGTCACATTGGACATAAAATTCAAAATATGTCAGAAACGATAAGACTTAGGTATGGATTACACAAAATATGTCCAAAGAGTTCCGAGGAATTAAAAAAATCCTTAATATACAGACTTATATTTAAAATAAGAAAGTTTAATAGTAACAGCGAATCCAAACCGCTTATGTCTTTACAATTATTAGATATTATTTTCAGATTCTGAGATCAGACACCTTTCCATAATAAACGGCCCACCCTGTACAAAATTCCTCACGGCGCAATGCGTTTAAAAAAAAATACGAGCGTTTGGGTATTAGACGAAGAATTTCTTTCAACGATTATTACTCGTCGACCAAGTAACGTTACGGCGGGCGCCACTTTCACTGGAAGCGTTCGTTTTTCTATTATTTGTTATAATTGAACGTAATTTTCCAATCTGTACGCTCGCAGAGCCGCTAATTTCTGGCGTGAGAAAAAAGAGCAAGAAAAGAACAAGAACTGGCCGATCGATCTTATTTGTTTTGCGAAACGCTTGAGAAAGCACCATTTTTTTTTTGACGCATGGTTTTCTAAAACTGATGTACCGGTGAATATCGTGTCGCGGTCGCCGCCATTTTTGTCAACTTTTCGATATCAAAGGGACGTAACTACGCTGCTAGAGCAGCTGGGTTCCTCAGCATCCAACCTTTAAAGTAATAGCATAGTTATGGCATAATTACTATGTTTGTATTATTAGAAAGAAATTTAAATTACACTTTCAATGTACCTTCCTTAATGAGCAATTTGTTGCTCACGGCAAGAGGACATTTTCGATTCCTATTACAGCATATTAAATTTTTAATTAAAAGCTTTGTGAATGGACCATATGCCTTTTAATTTGCGAGCTGTTTTAGCTTACAATTAATTTTAAAAATGCTTAGGGCGTTTGCGAATTCCCAATAAATGTTTCGCCACTCAAGGAAATACTTGACTATTGAGGAATTTTAAGAGAGAAAAATTTATCAAAATATTCTTCTCAAACTAGACAATTTTATAAAATTTTTGAGATTTTCGAAATTTTTAATAAATTTATTTATTTATTATTTTTTTCTTGAAACTATATGAAACATATATTGATATTAACTTCTCCCTAAAATCAAAAAAAGATTATATGCGAAATTGGTTAGTTAGTTTAGTTAGTATTTAGCATGATCTGAGAACAAATCGCATCTAGCGTTACAACTGATCTACCTGCTGTCTTGTTGAAAAGATTACAACTTAGAAGAGTCTGTCTGTATTTTTATAAAAATACATACTCCAATTAGCGTAAATTCCCTTTGAAATCTCAAAGAATATTGAAGAATAATCCTTTGCATCTGTTGTCATTTCGAACAGGTTGAAACCCAAAATTCAAAATAGATTATGAAAAAAAAAAGCCCCACACACACAACATGTGTTTCGGGCAATGATATCTCATGTTATGGACCGGATCCTACTGATAAAATGGAGCCGATATATCATTGGTACAAAGCATTGAAGGGAACAATGGTGCATTTCACCCGCAACGAGACCCAAGATTGTTAAAATCCGTGGAATAACAGCTATTTTTAAGATGGCGGCTACGGCCCCAGGCGACCACTCTGAACACATTTTTCAGTCATACACTTTCATTTCTGACACATCCAAACACTTTGGGCGAAGGCACTCATTTTCCACGGATCCAAGTCATCTTCGGCACTTTGGTGTATACAGACGATTTATATCAACACCAGCAAAAGATTTCATTAAGTTACGGTTTTAGTGCAAGTCAAGTAGAATACAGCTTGGTTAAAGAAAAAACGGCTGCTTCACAATAATCAAACATATTGGATATATGCGGGAATAGACCAAGAAAATATTAATTCTTTTTGAAAAATCCAAATTAAACAACAGTTGTTTCTCGACAAAGGCCACATGAAAAAAGATATTTAAAAGCATGAAATATAGTTCTCTGCTCGGTTTTAGTTTAGACAGGTCGAGATTTCATTTAAATTGAGCACCCGGTATTTGAATGTATCAATCGATTGCCTTTGTTCCCGCCACTTTTTTGGCAAATTTTGAAATATCGCACATTTTATTCCAAAGTCATGGAAACTGGCGTAGTAGGACATTTTAGACTGTATACTAGACTGTACTAATTTGACTTGTAGAAACTAAGTTTCAAACTATTTCTAGATTTATGAATGATGAAGACAAACAGAGACGTGGCATTTCAAAAATCTGGTCGCCAATTTATAGGAGCTTGGTGCGGAATTATTTCTTCTAGACTTCTGGGACCTGTTTTTTCCAAGGAAGCATAACACGCCATGGATATTTCGATTTCCTTCGTTTTAGGGTAGAATAATATTAGGCCGTGATTCTAAATATAGTATAGGAACAAATAAATTCAATGTCTGAATAGGAAAAAAGGGCGTAATATTTTGGCTTCCTAACAGTCCACATCTTGACAAAGTTTTATGAGGGATCCCTAAATGTAAGATTAATTTAAATGCAAAACAGAATACGAGAAGTTGAAGCCCTAAATGGGCAATCAGAACTTCTTAGAAGGTGTATCGAACACCTACACAAATGTTTTTGTGACCACGCTTAGGTCATTTCAAACATCTTTTGTGAAAAAAATAACATATTTAACAGGAAATATCCTATCAATTACCAATATTACACAACAGAAAATCATACAACAAATAAACTCTTTTGCTATATTAAAGAAAAGCAACTAATACAGTTTTCATGGCTAATTTGATTTTTGACACAATAGTTGACTTCATCACATTCAATATTAGATAAAATGCGCGATATTTAAAAATCTGTCAAAAATAACTCTAACAACATAACCCCCAACTCTGGTAATTTAAACGTTATTACATTAAAATTGTAGTTTTTCAGAGATTGTACATTAATTACGAAATTAAGAGTGATCATTAGTAAGATAAAAGATGAAACATTAGTTTCACAACACAGAACATCCCACCCTGGAGAGCAAAATAATTTGTTTAAACTGTAAACTGACCAATATCTGAATACCTGGCTTTAACTGTACATTATATATGAAATGTCAAAAATCTCTTTCGATTCGACTTGTGCAAAAAAAATTATTCAAGGTCAAACGTACAAAATTGAAGCTTGAAACGGTAAGTTTTATAGTGGAAATTTGTAGGTCATACAATTCTCTACAAAAATTGTTCAGGCACTTTTTTTCTTACGACTCACCATTCGTGAGATATCGCGGATTCAACTATTCGAAAATTCATATTTTACATAATGTATGGTCCACCACATATTTTACCACCAGAAACGGGCACATTTATTCAGCATGTTGCAGATAATGCTGATATAAATGTACATACATTGGAAGGTCATAATACGATTCACATCATGGGGATCATAAAATTATTACTCCAAAAAGTTTAGTTACAGCAGAAGAACCTTTTTTACGAACAAATACACTTCCCTCAGTGCAAAATTTTGCAGAAAAATCTCGTGTGCCTATTCAAGTTTATCAAACAGATGGTGCAGTAGCATATAGCAGAATATCTGTGCACAAGTTTGATTGTGAAAATGATACAACAGTATATTTGACAAAATAAATAAGAACTAAAAGTTCAGATTTTCACGAAATTATATATTTTGACATAAATTATGCACCTAATTCATTGGAAAAAATGCGCAATGATTGCATAATATAATAGATATAGATATTTGAAGTTTGTAAAATCCGCGTGGGACAATAAAATACAGGTGTCTTGTCCACCTCCAACATCTGCTTCTGCTTGTCGGCATTTGTATTGTGGCTAGACAATGAGCTGAACCCAGAAGAATGCGGCTGGAAGTCAACAGATAATAATTTGCAGCCAATTCAAACTCTACTCTCACCTGCTCCAGTAAAACTATTCAATACTATTTTCTGTAACTGCAAGGCGGGTTGTAGTAACAATTGTGGCTGTCAAAAAGTGGGATTATCATTATTATTATCATGCCCAGACTTGCTCTAATATTGAACCAAGTACAGCAGAAGAAATTATGATTCTAATGAAGAGACAATTGATGCATCCCTTTTCTTAGAACAGCGAACAGAGATCCTGCAAGAACGAGAAAATGAAGATGTAGAAGAAGACAATTATCTATTGTAACAACATTTAGAAGAAAACAACCCATTCCACTTTGAAAATTATTTTCTTCATTACAGTAGAACGCGGAGCATACCTACTTGGGAAAAGACGTTAAAAAAATGGGCCAACTACATTACCTCATTGGTATATCTAATGTCTCTTCTAATTTTCAGCTTTATGAGAACTTTGCCTTGACTATTTTGCCCAATATGGGTCCTACCTGGTAAGGCCAGGCGCCTCTGACTCCCTGCTTGCCGTGGACTACTCTACCTATGCTCCATTTTCCATATAACCATAAAATATCTACTTTTCGAAGTAAATATATTGTTGTATCATTTTCACAATCAAAATTCTGCACAGATATTTTGCTATGCCCTACTACACCATCTGTTTGATAGACTTGTATGGGCACACGAGCTTTTTCTGCGAAATGTTGGGCTGAAGAAAGTGTATTTGTTCATAAAAAAGATTCTTATGTTGTAACTGAACTTTTTGGAGTAATAATTAATTATAGTAAGTAGGTACATTTATATCAGAATTATTTGCAAGATACTGAATAAATGTGCCAGTTTCTGATGGCAAAATATGCGGTGGACGATACAGAACCGCTGTTGTCTCATACATTACGTAAGATATGAATCTTTTATTTATTGAAACCGCGATATCTCATAAATGGTGACTCGTAACGAAAAAGTGCCTGAACAATTTTTATAGAGAATTGTATAATCTACAACTTACCGTTTTCGAAAAAAATGGAAAAAGCCTCATTTTCATACGTGTTGACGGTATAGTCAACGTCTCTGCCAATTTTCAGCTCTATGCAAATTTTGCCTAAGTTTTGACTTGACTATTTTGACTGGATTATTAGGTAGCGGGCAATATGGGTCCTACCTGCCAAGGCCAGGCGCCTCTGACGCTCTGCTTGCCGTGGACTATTCTGCCGACGCTCCCGTACCGGGGTTGCCTGGACCTGCGGAAACTCCTGCCACATTCTGCGGTACAAAAGAGACAACTCAGACGCCTCGGAGCAGCCACTAGGGATTTTTTTACCTGACTGATGGGCCACCACCGATTGGACGTAAAGCACGATGTAAAGCAGTACCAGACTGGTCGGGTTGCTCATCGCTGACTCTGTCAAGCGTCCATCGCCACGCGACAATTCCGTTTGTACCCGGAGGACGGCGTCGACGCGTTCGCGGAGAGTGAAAACACAGAAATGAAATGGAAATGGTTCGAAATAATAATAATAATGGTCGTGTAGTGGGCGACGCGGTTAAATGAAAGTGTACCTAGGCGGTCGCTGTTTACGGGAGGTACCGACCGTCGAGTCTAACGCGATTTTATCTGCGGAATGTGTTTATAGAAATTCGGTATTTTATGAGTCGCAATTAAATTTCTCGCCGTTTGAAATTTTCGTTCGTTTTGTAACAGTTCGCTTTCCTGCTCGTTCCCGACCTTTAATTTGCAGGTTATTTACATTTAAATGCATTTTAAAAAAATGTACAAAGATCGTCTAAAAGAAATACAACTTTCCTAAAATGGAAAATATAGTTCCGCTCGTAGTTATCGAAATTTTGTGAACTCCTGTGTGAGCTCTTGGAAGCGAACTGAAGTTATACCCGTTCCAGAGAAAGAGTGTACAAGTGGCATTAACAATTTTAGACCATTCAGTTTGTTGCCAATCATCTCAAAAATTATTGAAAAAATTGCAGCTAAACAACTTCGTCAAAATCCTCCCAGACACTCAATCTGGGTTTAGGCCTCTTCACAGCGCTACTTCTGCATTGCTTCATGTTACTGATGATTGATTGAGAGCAGCGGATTCTAAATAAAACTCATTTTCTTTTTAATTTTCTTGGTCAGAGATACCAAAGGGTAGTTATAGGATATATCATTCAGATACCATTGCTTTGGAGAAGGGTGTTCCCCAGGGGAGTATTCCGGGACCCATTCTGACTTCTCTACTTTCCTTAAATTTTGTAAATCCCATCAATACGCCGATGATACTTAGTTATATTTACCTTTTGTTGCTAGTGAAGCTTTAAATGCCGCTACTAAAATAAATTTAGATTTAAAAATAATTTCGGTGGTATCCGCGTATCACAACAATAGTTCTGTTCTATTTTGCAATATCAGTCTAAATAAATAAAATACAGGGAAAATAAAATTTTTCAAATGTATAAGAAAATGTTTAGACATGAACGGGGGGCATTTTGAGAATGCATTGTAATTAGTGTTGTAGGACTGTGTGCAAAATACCAGCTTTGGGAATTAATTAAAATTTAATTAAAATTTAAAAATATGAATTTTGACAAGCTATAACTGGGAAAATTTTACGAATTCGAATTTTTGTTACGTGATTTACTATCATTATTTTACCACTAGACACTCACAAGTTGGAGCTTATACCCACATTTTTATGCCTATCAAATAGAGTGGCTTCTTTAGAAACGCGATTAAGAAGTAGCCACTTAACTATATCATCGGAAGCTAGGCAATCTGCAACAGTGTGATGTTATTTATTAATATTCACAAAATAAAAAATCGCTCTGGGGCGGTCTAAAATGTAAGATTGAACCATAAATCTTCGCGAACTTGGCGGTATTGAGTATCGATTTTGAACTAATTTCCTTGTTTACAAGTTGTTAAATGGCGGGTTAGCTGGGTAGTAATCACCTCGGCTTCCTACAAGACTATCGAATTTTCTTAGACGCTACTGCGGCGCGAGTTTGATGGTTCGGGTTTCTATTGATTGGCAGCCATTTAACACTAGTAGTTTGGTAACCGTCCCGAAAAATTAGACAATCAAACTCACGTTTTACTTCGCTTGGCTCTTAGAGGGGCCGGAGATAAAACCACGAATCCACCCGAAGTCAAATTAAAATCCTCGTATTACGAGTATTTATGACGGCAGTTAAATTAAGAATCTCGGCTGAGATTTTGCCGAAATTTGTATCGCCCCTGGGCGATAAAAAATAATTGCCACCTTAATAGCTCCCGGGTTTCCATTACTTTTTGAATTGCATTTAAAAAATGACAATTACATTTTTACCTATCTACAAACGGAAGCAGGTATTTAAAAAAAATGCAGTAACGAATACGCTCAATTTCGATAATGAAAGACTTTGAAGAAATAACGAAAGCGTTTTTAGCACGACTATCCTAATACATTTGCTTTTTTGACCATTGGAAGCAACCGGTAAATTGGTTTACCGACTCACCTCGTATAAAAAGAGATCTCCTATCAACAATAAAAATTTTTGGGTAAATGTTTTACTTTTTCTCATATTTCATTCATTATTTTAAAAGTCATTTTAATTTAAAAAAAAAAATCGAATATTATGTACATCCGATTAAATAATGTTCGGACTTCTTGGTACCCCTTTTAACAAATGTATACAACGCTTGTTTGGACTCCAGTACTTTCCCAGATCAATTTAAGTATCCTGAAGTGATTCCTCTTTTCAAAAAAAGCAGTAAATGTGATGTAGACAACTACCGTCCTATTTTAATATTGCCTGTTTTTGGCACGATTTTTGAAATTATACTGAAATAGTTGCTGTTAGACTATTTGCTAAAAATTTCATTTTTTGCTTATGTTCAGTGGAGTTGTTTACCCTGAAAGTCAACTATAAAAGCGGTGTGTGCGGTGTGAACAACATGTACCTCTCTCTTTTTTTGATGTATCAAAAGCTTTCGACTGTGTCACTCATAGTTTGTTATAACGAAAGTTGTCTTCTGTCGGCTTGTCAGGGTGAGCGTCTATTTTACTCCAACTTCACGGTGTTCCGCAAGGATCGGTTTTGGGTCCGCTCCTTTTCCTCATTTATGTAAATAATTTTGCACATTTTATTAAGCTCATCAAGTGTACACTATTTGAAAATCATTGTCATCAGCACTGTTTATGCTGCGAAAGCTTAACAATGTCTTAATCACTTATTTAACTCTAGAATGCTATGGGGTTACCACAATCTTTGATTTCATTCAGAAAGTACTCCAGCATCTCGAAAATGGCGAATTGGACCTTGGAATGTTTTTGAACTTCTCTAAGACCTTTGATTGTATGGATAGAGAACTTGTTATACAAAAATTGAAAAAGGATATGCAAAAATAGTTAATAAGGTCTGTGGGAAATCAAAAGCAGATTTTAACAGTAACAAAAGATTACAGAAGAGTTAACTCAAAGATGTTATAAAGTATTCTAGGCATTGCACAAGGTAGCAATTAAGCCAAATCCTTGCTTGTTGCTCGATAATATTTTCTTTACTCTTCTCTGTGGTCAATGATTTTAATCTGTTTACCGTTTCAAAATTATTACAGTCTGGTGAAAATTAAGTTCGAAATTGACCTACTGGCAAACAAATCTTTTCATTTTTATTTATAGTGTTTGATTTTAAGTGTGATTAAACCTGGTATTTAACCAGTATTTAACCAGTATTCAAGATACAGAGTATGTCACAATAAGATGCTGATCCGTAAGGAATGATTTAAAAAAAAGTGTATTAACGTGTTGAAAATATTTTAAAAAGGTTATTAAAAATATAATTTATTTTATAACAAATCAGTGGCGTACCATTGTTTTCGATAAAAGTTTTCAGTGCCGTGCTTACCCGCCGAAATAATGTTTGCCATCTAAAGCAGTTTTAATGAGAATCAATTTAACATATAATAATTTCTGTGGCCTGTATATCAAAAATTAGACGATTGGGGACTTATAAAATGATATAAACTTGATATAACCGTTTTTACTTTCAGGTAGTTATAACTTATCGCCCCTGCACAAATATAGCAAATTTGAACGAATAATATTCCACTATCGGCTCCAAATAGAAACGGCTTATCGTTGCATCAGTAATTGCGAGCAGTAACTGCTAATGACAGCAAATTGGGAGACTCATAAAACCGAACAAACAACAACAACAATAACAACAACCAACCAAACAACAACAACAAAACGACAACCATGAATGTTAGCAAGCTGTTTCTTCTTTTCTTCGTTTTCTTCGTGACGCTTTTCTCCGGTACCTCCGCCCAAATTGCATTACCCAAACAGTAAGTTTTCATCAATTTCGCGACAAGAAACTGAGTTTCAAATTAATCGTTTTTCCGCAATTTTCCGGTAAGCAATGCTGATTTACAGGGTGTTTGTATGCAATTAATAAAAACTATTTTTCCTAGTAGTTACTTTAAAAATACCTACACCGCACTAGATTTTTCTAAATAAATGTTCCCGGACTACTGACAAAATTGTTTTGATCGGTATTAGCTGACTAGCAAAATGCTATTTATTTCTTCCAACAAATAGATGCTTTCGACCATTAAATAGCAGATTATTACTATTTAAAAAAGGGAGCAATTTTAATAATAATATTAACAAAGTTATATTACCAATTGAATTTAGTATAAAATTAACGGACATAAAGAATCACTTGGAGTGGAATTATGGACAAATTAAAATAAACTTCTTAGTCATATTGTCCATTATGAACGCAGAAATTAAAATTATAAACACTTTCCATTTCTTACTGATAAAATTTTTTTTGTTAAAAATGCATCTGTTTTCGAATTACCTGTAATGTGCTCCAACCCCTCTCCAGGCCATTACATATAATACAAGATTGCTGTGACATTTCTGTGCACTTTTCGTTTCATAAAACAGCATTGGTTATCATTGGAAATTTCCAAAAAAGTAGCACAGCCGCTACAGCTTATCTATATTTTTGTTCAATCATTAATTCACCATCATGTTTTTTAATAATTGATTTCCGTGTTTTCCAGGGAAGCTGACGACCTTCCAGTACCACCCGAATATTTATAAAATGTGACTATAAAATCAGGGTTTTTATTGACCATCCCTTCCTTCCTCCGTGTGCTTTTATTGGTACTGCACAGCGGCGGAACAATTAGATCGGTGCGTAATTAGGTATCTTACAGACGGGAGTAGAAAAAATAATTTCCACCATATTTCGACAAAACACATAAAATGAGGAAAGCCCGTTTTTTTTTTTTCACATCTGTTGGCGCTTATTTCAAAATGTGAATTAGCATTTATTTAAAAAAATCATTACTCGTATCACGTGATTACAATTTATTTCATATTATGACTTTTGTAATTATTAAATACACTCATGATTTATTTTAAATTTACAGTGTGTTTAAATATACAGTGTGTCCAAAATGTTAAATAAAATTCACGGGGTGTTAGTGAATTAGGAAAAATTTGAGAGTGTGTCAAGAGAGAAGTACCATTAACATCAACAAAAATTTTAAATATTAATAATTATTGTTTTCTATTAGTTTTGGATTTTACAAAATAATCAGGATATACGTTTTTGTATGCATCTGTCAATAACAGTGTATAAATGTTAAGAAGTTTGTCATGAAAGATATTCTTTTACGCATGTGCCACAATGAGGATTACGAAAATTGTGAAGTAGCATATTATGCAACAAAACGGCATTTGACTCACGAGTATATTTGGCAAGAGCGGAGCGAGTGCTTAATAAACGAGTGAGATAAAGAGTATACCAAACATGTTGCTTACTATACTTTTTATACGGCCATCAGGGGGCACAACGGGCCCATCTGGTGGCCTAAGTGCTTGGACGCCCGCGAGGGCGCCCCCCTTTAATACCAATAATACCAATACGGCCATCAGGAAAAATCACAAGTTAACAAATTAAAAATCATAACAGATTGCTAAATTTCGTACTATTCAAACAAAATATTTACCAGTTGTCATTAAACCTATTCGTTTATCGTTCCGATCGGTTCTGATATTGTTGCCTCTTTTTAACTGTGTACGTTGTGTACGTTAGACAGAGAGAGAGAGAGAGTTGTATTGCTGGATATGTCAAATAAACAACGCAATATAGGCAATGTTGTTTATTTAACTTTTACAATTGATCATAAAGTAGTTTATTTAAAGAAAAAAACTGTAGTTGGAAGAAAAATTATCCAATGATAGAGTTGTCAAATGTTGCTTTTAGAAGGATGAAATTTTTAAGAGGGTATAAGAGGGTTCTGCTATTGTTGTCTCTTTTACAATGGATCATTAAGTGATTCGTTTAAAGAAAAAGACTGTAATTGGAAGAAAAATCATCTAACGACATAGGTTTTAAGAGGATTCAATTTAAGATTGTATTAGCGAGAAAAAGCAGGTCCTAACCTTCAATTTTTTTTTCTGATGAGACATGGATATTTGAAAATGGTAAAAATTTTAATATAACAGTTGTAAAGTTCATGTTGACGGCATGTAAAATTTCTGTGGGAACTTTAATTATAAATGTTACTTTACTTAGCGACTAGTCCACTAGATTTTAATTGTGCTTATAGTACGTAGTATTTAAATTGTCTGATATATTACATAATATTTTTCAGTGTATTAGTTTCCATTGATATGATCGTCAGAATTGCCAAACGTCAAAATTCAAGCCGTGCGGTAAAATCCCGGAAATGTCCGAAGTGGCTCGGATCCGTGGCAAACGAAACTGACTTACCCGTACTCTAGGTAATTAGATATTTTACAGACGGGAGTAGAAAAAATATTTTATAATGCAAAATTTAAACCAATACGTGTGTTTGACAATTTTCGAAAATTTTGCCTAATTTTTTCTTAATACCTTAGAGTTCCAATATTAGACTTTTCTGTCGGGTGACGGTGTACGGTCAATTTTATAAGTTAGTGGAAAATGTGTCGAGATAAGAAGTAGCTATCTAGAGTGATATTAAAATATTCCAATTTTTTTAATTGAAATTTGTATTTAGTCTTTATGCTAGTATATAAACATTTGTATTTTATGAGCATCTATCTGATCTATCTTGAATTTATTTGCTCAACCAGCGGAACTTTTTATAAAAAATTTTTTCGATCTTTATTTTGCATTGTGCTTCCTCGGTGTTGGTTTTCACAACGTGTCGTTTCTGTACGAACCCAGTAAACATGGGCAAACATTTTTGCACTATCGGTTCCAATTAGAACCGAAACACCCGCACACAGCTAATTAGCTTATCGTTGCTTCAATAATTGACAAGAGCTAATACTAATTACCGCAAATTATAAGACTTATAAAAGCGACAGCGAACCCCCAAGGAGATAGAACTACAACACAACGACCATGAAGGTAGACAAGCTGTTTCTTCTTTTCGTCGTTTTCTTCGTGGCGCTCTTCTCTGGGGCCTTCTCCGCACGTCGATCTGATTTGCTGGACAGCGATGCTGCCCTAGTCCGAGAATTGTAAGTGTTCATCGTCCTCGTGACAAAAAACTGCGTTTTCTTTACAGCAATTTTCCGATAAGCAAAATAGGTAAATATAAAACGTGTTGTTAAAACAAAACTTTATTTTCTTTAAAACTGAAGCAGTAGATTATATATTGAAACATAGAATAATTAATCCGAATATAAAATATTAACATTTGGTCCAAATCGCTTCTATAAAAGTTGGCTCCATCGTCATTTACAGATATTACGACAAAATTATTTTGATGCCAATGAACGAATGAATATAAATTAAACATTAATGGGTATTAACTGATAAGCAAAATGTTCTCTTCCAGCGAATGGTTGCTGTAAGCATTTAAAAATAGACTGTTACATTCTAAATAAAAGAGAAATTTTAATAATATTAATAACAATAGTAAATAGTTTTATTTCTTTAATTATTGATAACAATCACATGCATCTGGCACAACCAGATACTGTTACAGACCAAATTTTAGCATAAAATTGATAGATACAAAGAATCAGACAACGTCCACCCAAAAAGGCAATTTATTAACTTACTTTTCAGGGCGAATAACGTCAGGGAAAAGTCTGTAATGTTTGTAGTTGTGGACATCCTTCTGAAATGTAATTTTGTGGTAAAGAGTTTTTGTTGTTTCCAAATATTATTAGTTACAGAATCGTATAATCTATCCAAATCAGAATTAATACTGTTACTTGCTTCTTTAAGGCATATCTGAGAAAAAGAAAAGTACAGTTGAGAGTGATCAACATAAAGATGATTATAAACTTTAAGCTTATAAACTTGGATGCAAAAATCGCAAACAAGAGTCCACTTAGGACTAGAGGTTAATTCGATGGCTATTACTTTTTGTGTTCTGTCACCTAAAAGGGATGAAACGAATTTACAAGGCACTTCACTGAATGATATGCGATGAAGAATTTAAATGAGAATGTCATTGTTTATCATGTCAACGGCTTTGTTAAAATCTATTACTATATATACATACTATACATAACCATATGTTTGTGTATGTCTGTGTGTGTATGCAATATTTGATGCCCATTTATAATACACTACTATTTGACAGAATTATCATATTGGGTAACATAGCAGTAAGAATAGGAGGCAAGAAGAAATAAAAAAAAAAGAATTTATTAAAGATGTATTTGTATTTGGAATACCTCTTATGCAGACCAGTTTTCACCTGCAAAGGGTATTACATTACATTACATATTACAACACGAGATTGCTATGACATTTCTGTGCACTTTTCGTTTCAGTTTAGTGTTTATTTCTTGCAGTACTGCAGATGGATATCATTGAGTATTTCTAAAAAAAGTACCACAGCCGCTAAAGCTTATTTAGGTTTTTTTTTTCAATAAATAATTGATAATTATTTTCTATTTATTTCAGGGAAGCTGATGAGAGGCCAGGCCGATAAAATCCTTATACTTATTAAAATGTGACTCTAACCAGCGTTTTTATTGACCGACCTTTCCTTGCTCTGTGTTCCTCGCTCAAAGTCAAGTAATCACTTTTACTAACAAAGGAATAACGACTTTAATAATGCTTTTGTTTTTAAGGCAGTGGCGTACTAGTTTTATCGATTAAAATATTCAGTGTCATATTTACTCCTACGTCACGGGCCCCGAAAAAAGTACTTCTACGCGTTGTGCGCCCTTACCAAATTTCAACAAAATATCTAAAGAAGATTTAATAAAAATGACAAAAAACCCTTTTTTTTTATTTCTAGGCCCTGTTGACAAAAATTAAGCGGTTCAATACAATACAAATATTCGCGCACCCTGAAATCAAGGTGCTGTCGGGAAGACCTTAAAAACGCCTATCTAACTCTTAAAAATTAAAACAAATGAGATTGGACGCTTTTTCAAAAATTTGTGGAAATTTAATTTTTTTATTTAACAGGTGAATTAGAATTTATTTTAAAAAACTTGTTATTCATATCGAGAGATCATAATTTATCTTATATAAAAAATATGTATTATTCACTGTATTGTCAAAATAAATTCTGCTTGTCGAGAAACGAATTAACGATAAAAAAAATTAAAAAGCATAAAGACTAAATGCATATTAGAAAAGACGATTTTGGAAATGTGAGTTGTATTTCATGAAAAATTTGCGATCATTGTGAAAATTATTCACAAAGACAATTATACACTAACATCGCCTTAAATTCTGGAGTAATTTACTTTAATTGTCAGGGATATCTGAACAATAATGGTTCTCATTAATGACTGGAAGCCAAAAGCAGTGTTTTTGTCTGAAACTCATGTATCTGAGGATATTCATCACAGTGAGTTGTGTATTGATGGATACAAGTGCGTCACCAATAATAGAAGAACTGGAGGAGTGATGGCATTGATAAGGTGTGATGTAAAGTACAAATTAAAGAATGTACCTTGTGTACAGAATTATGTATGGATGTTGTCTGTGGGAATAGTGCTATTTGGGTCAAAATATCTATGTAGTATTCTATATCATCCTCCACAGTTGGAAAATGCTAAATTTTTGGTTATTTGGATGAATTGAACGATTTCACGGGATGATGATACATGGCGTGCATACAAAAAAGAGAGAAATTGCGTTGTAAGCTGCATTAAATTAGAAAAAGACAGATATTTCAAAGATATTATTGATAGAAATAAAACAAACTCTCTAAATAAAAAAGGTATATTTCCCGATGAGTTGCAGTTTGGCCAGCGAGTTGTTTCACTTAAGCAAGATATAGCTAATGAATTTAATAGGTATTTTATAGACAGTGTTCAAAATATTTTGACCGGCATTCCGCTAGCCCAAGCTGTGAATGATATCACTAATATACCAACTTATGGAGAAATAAATCGGTTTAAGACCATAACTATGTAGGACCTAAAAATAATAAGAGAATTTAAAAATGTGACTGATGATGAGTGTGGTATCTCAAAGAGTGTATTGATTGATGCCTGTGCAGTTGTTGGAAATCGATTGTTGGACATTGTGAACATCTCACTTACGAGTGGGATTTTTCCGGAGGCATGCAAGACATCAATGGTGATCCCTGTACAGGAGGTTCCGAACACCAAGCTATGTCAAGAATTTAGACCAATTAATACCGTTCCTCTCATGACGCATCCGACGTGGACACGTCTTGGACACGTCATGAGAGGAGAAAAGTGCCAACTACTCCGACTGATATTACAAGGAAAAATTCAAGGAAAGAGAAGTGTAGGAAGAAGGCGTCACTCATGGATGAGAAACTTACGTGACTGGTTCGGGTGCACCACAAACCAACTATTTCGGTCGGCTGTGTCACGAATACGAATAGCACTGATGATTGCCAACCTTCGCAACGAAGACGGCACTTAAAGAAGAAGAAGGATACCGTTCCAGTTTATGAGAAGGTTCTTGAGGTGGTGAAACAGCAGCTGCAATGCTATTGTGACGTAAACAATATTTCAGTCGGGCTTTCGCTCCAAACATTCATGCGAATCTGTCGTCGTTACTGTCTGTGATGATTTCTTGAGGGGCTTGGGGGGTATTGGGGGTATTTTTGGATTTCAAGCGTGCTTTCGAAACAATAAGTAGAACTAGACTGTTAAGAAAATTGTACGAAATGGGTATTAAGGGAACAGCGTATAAATGGCTTTGTTCGTATTTAACAGATAGGGTACAAAAAACGAAACATAACTGTAAAATCATGGTGTCCCTCAGGGGACAGTTTTGGGACCATTGTTGTTTGTTATGTACATAAACGATATTGTAAATATTTTAGATGATACTAAAGCGGTATTATTTGCGGATGGCACCATGATTTTTATTGTGAGCTTTTGAATGGCTGTGCAATAACCTTTGTATAAACACGGACAAGTCAAAATTTTATATTTTTGGTAAACGGGATAAAAATGTAGTAAATTAAATTTCGATGTAAACATTAATATTAACAAGAAAAAATTAATTCATGAAAACAAAACTAAATATCTGACTCAAATTTGACGTTTCATACACATGCCGATTTCATGATGAATGAATTTTCTAAAAAGATTAATTTTATATCTAGAAAAGGGTAAAAATTTGTCAATTGACACCAAAATATTATTGTATAACAGCCTAGTTGCTCCCCATTTAGAATTTTGTTCAACACTTTCGTTCAAATTGCCTAATTATAAATTAGAACAATTGCAGATTGTTCAAAATAGGGCCATGAGAAATATATTAAAGTGTAACAGATATACGCCAATTCAAAGCATGTTGATTGTTCTTAATTTCTTGTCTGCAAAACAAAAAGTAATGTTTAATGCCTATGTATTTATTTTTAAAATTAATAGCAGTGTGTTCCTAATTATGTTTGTGAAAAAGTTACCTATTTCAGAGACATTCATTCTTATAATACAAGGAATTGTGGTAATTTTATGTTAAGAGAATGTTATTCTAGTCAAGTACAAAACTCTATATTACATAAAGGCTCTTAATGAATTTAAAAGACTTTTAAGACGTCATGTATTGTCATAATTCTGATTTCTGTGTTTGGCTTTTGGTTTCCGTTTATCTGCAAATTTTATATTTTATATTTAGAATTTGTATTTTGTATTTTTTATGTAGCAAAATGCTAAATAAAGATTATATTATTATTATTAGTTTAATGAAACTGCATCAGCTATGAATTAATTAATACCAAGTCAGTTTCGTTTTTCACGGATGCGAGGCGCTTCGGTCATTTCCGGGATTTTATCACACGGGTTTGGGAGCAATCGGGTGTTTCCGGAGATTTTCCGGCACGGCTTGAATTTTGACGTTTGTCAATTCTGACGGTCATGTCAATGAATGTATTTGTGTTGTTTTGCGAAAATGTACTCAAAAATTCAGGGTCGTAAAAAAAGTACAATATGCAACACATCCAGTAAACTTTTAACTTCTAAGGAAAGTTAAATTAAGTCTTCTAAGACAAAGATGAGGCAAATACGTGAACTTGGAGATGAAAAGAGACGTTTTTGAGTTTTGCCCATGGTTAGGTAAAGAGTCTCCTTGAAAACCGTAGATTTAATAGAATTTTTTTTACCTACACACCCGCTTGCAATGTTATGGTTGATGCTACCTTTGCTCAAATCTTACAATTTTCTTGTTTGTTTTAAATGTGCATCTTTCAGGATAGGATAGGTTCAAATCCAGACTCCCGAAATATTTTATTTTGTTTATTTGAACCACCGTTCGTCACATACGTACAGAGTTAATAACATTTATATAATTTATAATATATTTATTTAATATTTTAATAAGGGAAAATTTGATTTGAAAAATTGATTTATTACGTGTATTTGAAGAACATTTTGGAAAAATTTGTCTTAGCATTAAGAAGATAATACTTTTGGGCTAGAAGTGCGAGAACACGACGGCATTATAGTGGAAGTTGTATACTCATCATAAAGCTAAGTTGCCCGACATTTCATTATTAGACTTCTAATAGGGAAATATAAGAAGCTCCAGGAATTGAATATGTCACAAATCATTCGTAAGGTCTATGGTAAACTTTTTATGTTATTATTATTTTTATGTTATTATTAAAATTGTTCCACTATCGGTTCCAATTAGAACCGGAAAACCCAAACGCACGCAATTAGCAGCATATCCTTTCTTCAATAATTGACAGGAGCAACTACTAATTACCGCAAATTGGGAGACTTATAAAAGCGACAGCCAACCCCCGTGGAGATGGTAGTACAACACAACAACCATGAAGGTAGCCAAGCTGTTTCTTCTTTTCGTCGTTTTCTTCGTGACGCTCTTCTCTGGAACCTTTTCCCAACTTAGATCTGATTTGCTGGACGACGACGCTGCGCTATTACGCAAACCGTGAGTTTTCATCGACTTCCTGACAAGAGACTGAGTTTTCTTTATAAGCTTTAAAAGTCCGTACAGCGTGAAATAATTCGTTTTTGCACGGAAGCAATTTTCCGGTAGGCAAAATAGAAAAGTGGAGGCGTGAAGGTATAGGAAAATAGTCGAGATACTCTCTTTCCTCTCAAACGGTAACTTGTAGATTATAAAGGGTGATCCAAGTTGAGTCTCCTGTTAAAAATTCTGGAGAATTAAATGGTTTTTCAAAATAAACTTGTGTATGTAACTAACCAAAACCATTTTTTCATAGCCTACTGACAAAAAAAAAGTTATTATTAAAGATGCATGCTTTGTATTTGAAATAGCTCTTATCAGTTACGTATTTTGAAAAGCTATGGAATTATTAAAAACATACAGCGTGTTCTGTGACTTACCCATAAAAAAATAATTATAATGTGCTTTGTATTGGTATAACTTTTAGATGTTACGTACTTTTAAAAAACCCACAACAAGCCTAATGCAATTACGGAAAGAAATACAGGGTGTTCTATAAAAAAAACACATGTTTAGTTTGTTCCTAAGTTTCCTAAGTTCTTAAGTAAAATCCATATTCAGGACAGTTTTCAAAATAACTCCGTATCTAAAAATTTAGAGCACTATTTATTTACCCCGTAAAACCACCAGTTTAGGCCAGTCATTTGGGTTTATTTTTTATACCAGAGTCGTTAATGTCTTATCCATTGTTTTTGAATTTATGTTTTGATATTTAATTTTCGTATCTTTACCAGGAGAGCTGACGACCGCGCAACCAAGAGGGCCGCAGACGCTACATAAAGCCAGCGCAATGTCGGCGCCTTTCAAATAATATACAGTGATGCTAAGATATGCGTTTTTGTCTACCGATCTTTCTTTCTCCCGTGTTCCTCCTTTCCCTCGCTCCGCCGATCGGACTTAACGAATCATATACAGTGCGAAATATGCATTTATTAGTATTACACTGCCAAGTGGCTATACAATAAATATCAGCAGCGATAACATTTTCGAAATGGCTTCTGCGGCTAGAACCTAAAATTTAAAAGTGGGGTGGGAAGGGAGGAAGCGACAACACCGGAACAGAACAACTGATTGTCTACGGGTATACGGATGCGGCAGGTGAATACGGAAAAATTAGTCTGCTAGAAGTGGTGACTCATCTTCTTGCTGGGAGCCAGTCGTCGACTTCTTGATCCCCCCGGTACTGAAACAAAAGAGATCGCGTTACGTGACGGGAAAGAAAGAAGTTAAAAATGCCCAAAATTGCTGTAGGGCGACGTCTCCTAATGACGGCGCTTACAATACAATATTTCTGGTTCTGGAGCCAGATGACCAAAAATTAAAACTGAGTATAGAAGGAGGCGCAAAAGGTATCGGTTACTCCCGTTACCACGATAGATCCGGTGGTAATTTGAGTGTTTTAACAGGAAAAACATATTCCTAAAGTCCATTTAAGAAAGGAAAGAAAAAAAAACAAAAATTGTTCGTTATCTACATAGTATTAGGTTCACATTATTCATTATTCATTTTTTCTATAAGTAATGGTTCCTTTTTTACCAGACTGCCTTCAAATTCAACTCACACAATTTCTGATTCGTTGTCCTTAAAATTATAAGATATAAGAGATCCATCATCTATCATATTTCATGGCAGAAATGATGAAATGGGGTCAACAACGGCATTTGTTAATACTGTGATTGCCATATTGCCAGTCTCTGGAAACGATTGCAAAGAAATAGCTATCAAACTGAACACCGAAATGCAGTATTTCTACAAATGGCTGTGTCAAAATAAACTGAGATTAAATAGCTCCAAAACCAAGTGCTTGGTTATCGGTTCTAAGGTTAACTGTGAAAAATTTTATAAGTCGGGGTATTCTGTGGATATACAGGGTAATAAAATCGAGTTTGTTTCCGAAATTAAATATTTAGGGGTGATCTTGAATCCACAATTATGCTTTAGTAATCATGTTGAATATCTACGCAAAAAAATTGGTAAGAAAATAGGGTTTTTAACCGTGTATCGCCGTTTTTATCGCAGTGGACTAGGATGTTAGTGTATAATAGTATAATTTTGCCTCATTTTTCGTGTGTTTGTTCATTGCGTATATCTTGTACAAAAGAAGATTTAAATAAGTTACAGTTACAACAAAATAGGGTTATGAGAATCATCCTGAACTGTGATAGATATACTCCTATAAAGAGTATGTTAGACCAGCTAAATTGGCTAAATGTCGGGCAGTTCATTAGAAGAGCAAGTTTAATGTTGGTTTATGGAATTGCGCACGATCACAAACCAGGCTATCTTAAATTATGGCTGGAAAAAAGGTCAATATAATATACGTTCCAATCAGCACTTCAATGTTTCTATGGTAAAAACAACACATTTACAGAAAACTATATTCTACGATGGTGTTTGTAATTTTAATGAACTGCCGGATAATATTAAGGGCGCGCCTTGCCCAAGAGTGTTCAAGAACAGACTTACGGGGTATTTGCGAAGTTTATAGTTTTTGTTAATGCAAATTTTACTTGCTTATGTAAATAGCCAAGTGCTAAAAATAAATAAATAAATAAATAAAATATGAAATCAGAAAGTTCTATTAAATCGTGTGTAATTTTAAAAAATGATCCAAAATTTAAAAACAGCCTATAGCTCGCTCGGTAATGAAGATATCAATTACGACCATTAGATATCAATAACGGACTCATATGGATGCAATAGAATAATTTTCGTCAAATAGTTGGAAACTGAAAAGAGGTAGTGAGGTGTAAGTTAACTAGCATAAGATAAAACCGCCTTATTAATAGATGCTAATGTGAGCAACAAATTTAACCGCAGCAAAGAGGAGGTGCAAGTTACGGAAATAATTTGGAATATGAAATTAAATTCGTAGTCCGTGGGTGTTTTGCAACATCTCCAGTTTAGGAATATGTAGAAATCAAATTGCATTTATATTCTTTCTATCATAGTTCGATGTTTGGTTTCATGCGAAAGACTAACTAAACTGGAAACCTTCAAAGGTTCAAAATTCTAAGACATAAAACAGATTTTTTTCAAAGATCATTTTCGTTTCTAATCAGTAAAGTGTACGGTAACTACTCTGATTCACTCAAGCAAAAAACTTTGTCGCAGTAAAAAAAAACCTATTAAGACTGTTTCTTCTCAGAACAGTGTTTACCAGCAGCAGAACAGTAATTAGTATTAAAGAAAATAATAGCATTAAAAAGCAAATTTGAATGCTCCAAAAATCAATAAAAGTCCATAATCCAGACCTATTTGTTTAATTCATAATTATATATATTATTAATTATTTAAGGTGAAAAACAGAGCCAGTTTTGCTCGTAAACCAGACTCTATTCTAATGGGTGTTTTTTTCGATGTATAGCACTTTAAGTTGGTATTACTGTTCAAGATGGCGACCGATTTACCAGCTCTCAAATGATTTATTCTCAGTTTGGTTTGGCAATTCATCATGAATAGACTCACGCCTGAACAACGCTTGCAAATAGTGCAATTTCATTTCGAAAATAACGGTTTTGTGCGGAATACGTATCGCGCACTACGACCATTTCATCGTCGACAAAATGATCCATCAGAGCAGTTAATTCGATTAACCATGGAACGTTTTCGCACCACGTTTAGTCTTGTTGATAACTCGCATCCCCAGAGACGCCGTACGGTGCGTACAGAAGAAGCTATTGCTGCTGTAGAGCGTAGCATTGAGGAAGACCCGAATGAGTCCATCCGCCATCGAGCACAGGAATTGGATCCGTGTCCATCCACTTTATGGAAGATTTTGCGGAAGGATCTTGGTTTTCGTGCTTACAAAATCCAACTCGTGCAAGAATTGAAGCCAAACGATCATCAAGTAAGGCGTAGATTCGTCGAAAGCGAATTTTGTTTAGCCATGATGCGCACTTCTGGTTGAATGTTTGAATGTCGTTTGACTGGAGTCATAGTCATAGCAGTATTTATAAATTTTAATTTAATGCAATTAACTTTGATGTTAAGGTTTTGTTTTTACTTCCGAAAATCATGGCAAATGATTTCGTAGGGTTTAATTTGCGATTGTGGTTGGAGGTTGGACCTTCTAAATTTTTTTTTCCGCTAGGCCGGCCCTGCCCTGCGGCACTTTTACGGGCCTCGTTAGAAATTCTACCGACGTCCGCGTCGCGGCGAATAGAACAAGAATTATTAATTTTCCCTTAATGGACCGTTTGTCGGAATTTAAGTGGGTGAAAAACAATAAGATACACCGCATAATGGGCCATTTTTCTCGATCTTTTGTTCCCGCGACGATGCAATTAAAATTGGCGCGAAGTTACGTTAAAGAAAAAAAAACACTCCTTTGACTTTCCCCATTTCTTAGGTCGAAAGTGCTTAACACCGCCTCTGCTGGGATCGATATTTTTTGGAAATTTTTGCATAAAATATTTGTTTTGGCATGCGTGAAATCAATTTATTTCCCGTTACAAGCGAATATAATAAATGAATCGTCTCTCTTGAGATAATTGGAAATTTCTCTTTCTAGTGTTGTTTTGGGCAACTACAAATTAAACTAGAAGTGCCAAGAGACGTTTTTATCACTTTGGTCGAAGGTAATTACAGATAATTACGCAAATAGTTAAAGGGTGCAGTTCTTAAGAATATGATTTGTTCAAGTGATTTTGAATTGTTTTAAACATATGTTTATGTCAAAAAAATGGAACAAAAAAACACTTGACATGTTGACAACGACATATGGCGAATCTACTTTGGGCAAAAAAAATGTTTGTTAGTGGTACAAACTGTTCCGAGATGGCCGAGAAGACGCCGATGACGAACCTAGCTCCGGATGCCCCAGCACGCTAACAACTGATGAAAAGTGACGCAAATGGTGTTGAAAAATAGTCGAATTACTATTAGAGAAGTAACTAACCAAAACTATCCAAAAAAAGCAAGTCAAGTTCAATCAAATGTCAAGATTTTGCTTACTGTTTTCTTTGATTATCGTGACGTAGTACATCAACTTGAAGTTATGTATAGTGCACCTGCTTGGGTCTAACTTTCTGGCCAAAAACAACCCCAGAAGTTTTTCCTGTTCCCAATATTGAAGAAACCCATAAAAGGAGGGAGAGTTGGAACCATTACGGAGATAAAGAAAAAATCGGTGGAAGAACTCAAGGAAAGTGCTTACCGGAAGTGCTTCGGGGATTGGAAAAAACATTCTCACAAGTTTATTACATCTGGGGGATTACTTTAAAGGGGACGACATTAATTTTGATAAAGAAATAAATACTTTTTGTTAAAACTTTAAAGTCATCTTACTTTTTCAACACATCAAGCAGAAGGAATCGAGCAGATTTGTAAATAGCATCAAAGTAATAATATTATGAATATTATAAAAAAGGGCAAGTTTCCACAAATTATGGGAGGGAGAGGGAGATTCATGAATAAAAGATGTAAGGGAGATTTATAAATAAGTTGAACGCCCTTATTGCCAGAACATCTTCTCGATTCACCATATAGTATTCGAAATATTTCTTGACCCATGTGTACACTACCTTTTTTGTTGATTTTAAAATGCGCATGAAACATTTCAAAAGGGGGAAAAACGTCACATGTAACGCCAGAACAATCCGCGCAATTAAACTCAATCCTCGAATTTATCACCCGTTTTATCGCCCCTATACAATAAACGTTATAGATTTCATCGAAGACGGTAATAAACCCCACACCCCCCTTTCCGGATATTTCCTTCAATTTTCAAAACGCCTGCATTGAATAATAAACGACAACATTAATAATGAAGTTGTTTAAGTTCGCAACAACGTCGACGAGAATCGGCACGCTCCGTGAAACCCCAAATACTATAGAAAAGAGTATAAATAGAGAAAGCAGCTTTGGACAGGCATTTTTGGAGAGAGGTGTTTCCTACAGATCCTGTTCACTTTCAGAAAGCACAGCCTTCTAAAGAATCACCATTTTTGCAGCCCTTTTTGGAAAAGCTGTTTCGAGTAGAAGAGGGCCTTATGGTTCCTTCAAGGCTTTGCGTTGAAATTAAAGGAGCTTTGACGTTCCACATTGCATTAAGTGACAGTGATTCATCTGTTCGAAATGTTGGGTGGTTAAGGCAAATAAAAACAATAGAAGTTTCAAGTTTTCAAAGAATCTTCCACGGGCTACTGGAATACTATTTACAGAACTGGATTCTTGCTTAGT